ACGCTGTGATGCTTCCACCTTTGGGGGTCTGGCAGCCTCCTTGGGGGTTTTGAACTCTGCAGCCTCAGGTAGGAATGGGGGTCTGGCAGCCTCCTTTGATGGGGGTCTGTCGGCCTCCTTTGATGGAGGTCTGTCAGCCTCCTTTGATGGGGGTCTGTCAGCCTCCTTTGATGGGGGTCTGTCAGCCTCCTTTCGCCGCTTCAACCAATCCACATCCATGTCGAAACCTGGGCTGGTCTGATCCGGCTGTTCCTCAGGAGTCGCAAACCTAGGTTCATCCTCAGTCTGCATCTTGCTAGCACTTTCAAACCTGGCTCTCAACTGACGGTTCTCTTCTACCAACAGTTGAATTTGCCTTCTACATTCGTCTTTCTCCTCTCGGTCTCTCACTGCTTGCATTCTCAGAAACTCCATGTCTCTTTCATGTTGACTCACTGAAGCTCTGGCTGCATCTCCATCCAAAAATGAAGGACGTGAAAAACCAATTGGATTGAAAAACGACTGTTGGGGCCCATACATCCATGCGGCTTGTCCCTGCAGTGCAGCAAAGTTTCTCAGCTGCTCCTCGGTGAACAACGGAGGTGCCATGGATTGCCCTTGCACTTGGGTTGCATCATCTCCTGCTTGTTGTTCAGGGGGAGTTGCAATCTCCCTCATCAAAGGTCCACCATTGAAGTTGCCTTCACCCTTGTCGGCGGGCGTATTCTTCTCAAGGGAGTTCACCACCTCTTGACGTAGAGAAAGGGCAGGAGGATCAGGAGGAGGTTGTGTAGGCGGCAACAACGCTTTGGCACCTGAACCCTGATTGGAATTCCTTGCAGGGGTACCTCTTTGAGGTTCATCTCTCTTACACTCTTTCGGTGGAGACGTTTCCCCTTCTACAACATCCTCAGGTTTTTCTTCAGGTCCGTTTTGTATAGGCATCTCACCCCTACTCTCAGCCTCTGTTTTCATTCTTTCATCAGCTAGTCTTATCTCCTTTTGACCCTGCTCCATCTCTTCTTTGGCGGCCCTTCTCCTATGGAACTCACTCATCTGCCCAGTGAACCGCTTGGGCTCATAACCTGGAGATGGCCAGGTCCCCAACCTTCAGTCCTCCGCACCTCGTCCTCGTAGCAAGCGGCCGCCTTCTCTGTTTTCACCGGCAGCAGCTCGGGTGTTTGAGCTTCAAAAGGGCAGCTACGTCGACTGCAGTTGAGAAAAGGGTTCAGTGACATGTCAATTGGTGCAACATGTCTGAATTAAATGTACAGATCTACCAAAGTATGAAAAACAGGGTATGCCGTTCTGCAAAACCATTCCCAAATGGGTGGTTTATGACTTTATTTTATTTACATTAAGCATGATTGTAGCCTCAGGGCTTGATGATGTCAAACTAAGCTGCCCAGCTGGGTAGGCAATGAGGGTGCCTGGCGAAAGTGGTATGATGAGAATGAGCCAGAGAGTGTGCCGATCCCTGACTACGATGAACGCATCAACATGGACAGGACTGACGGATTTAGACTATTAGACACTGGTCAGCTTGAAGCAAAGGCCGCTGATTGAGAAGCACCATGACCATAATTCGTGGGTGATCGTGGGATGAAGATCCCACTGACATCCACTGACCGTTCTGGTGGATTTGTTACTCAGATGAGATGGTTTTGTTGTTCGGAATGTGGAATGTCAGTCAGCCCACCTTTTCAGCCGAGGGTCGCAAAAAAAGATTCAATCTCTCTATCTCTCTCTATATTATGTATATACATACATATATCTCTATCTGTGTTAGTATATATATATAAATACACACTGCTAGGTTTTAATAATCCATTTGCTATACAGACCAGATTACCTAGATACCATGTATTATCTTTCATACTACTTGCTGCGTATATGCCAGCAATATACCAGCTGGTCACTAACTTACATACTACTTCCTACTTGTATGCTAGCTATTGCTAGCTACATACCAGCTGCGTAGAATCTTCACTGCTAGACAACCTACTGGCTAACATATCTAGAGATAGTACCCCCAGCATGCGTGCTACGCCCCACAGTTCCTTACTTGGCCATCTTTTTTTTCACATGAAGGAATAGAATCCCCAAACCCAGATAAACTTTACATTGGTTGAAGACTTTCAAAAGGGGCAGAGAAAGGGTGAAGACTTTCAAAGGGGGAAGAAAAGAGGACATTACTTACTTTCACAGAAGAGGATACCAGTATTATATAGCTGCCAACCTTATATACCTAATACCTGCTTAATGTCCAATATTACATAAATCCCACCCTGCCATCCGCCTACACCCACTTCAGCCACAACCACGGGGGGAAGAGCGGAGTGCGGGTTGCAGGGGCTGGTGCATATATCCTCCTTGTTTCTTGTGTGCCAACAGCCTTTGTGCAGCATCATTTGAGGGCCCTCTGAACTGAACTTCACAGCTGCACAGGACTCTGGGACCATTCCTGCGCCTCACCATCGTGCGATCCATGCGTGAGGATCGAACGACCATTTCCTGCAGTCAGTTTGTGGAGGCGAGATGCATCTGGGGGGAACAGCAAGGTATGACCCCATTGAAGTCAATGTCCGAAAAGGATCGAAGCTGGGAACCTGAAAATTCGAAAACTTTGCACTTGGTACAACAGTGAGCCCCCTTCCACTTATACATCATGATACAATCATACCAATCATACCGGGCCTACAATCGTACTAGTGTTTTTTTTCAGGTTCACACCCATCTATGGCTAGCAAACGGGGGCCAATCATTCTAAATGTATCTAAACGTCCTATGCCTTGGAATTTGGAAAACCAGCTTCACATCGTTCGTTTCGTTGATGGATGAAAACTGCGGCTTGTTTCTGAGGCCATGCTGGATTCGCGCTTCGTGGCACCAGTGACCGATGCCATCCAGGACTTGCATGGGGTTGTTGTGAGAAATCCTCCATTCTGAAGCCATATCATATATACCCTTTGCATCCTTCTGGCAATTTAACATAACTATGGAACACCACCATTTTTAAGGGTAGATCATTTGCAAAGGGCCGTTGTTCCAGAACTACGTGAAATTACCGGAGGGTCACCGGAGGTGATCCTTATCCAATTCGCACAGTTATGACCTCCGAACAGAGGAAACCATGGTTTTTACCATCAATTTTGGGGTATTAAGGAGAAACCATTCAGAAGGTGAGGTGCCGTTGTCCAAAAATGGGAAACCATAAAATTTCAATGGTTTATCATCATTTTCTCTATGAACATATCCGATATCCATTTTTAGCTATACCCCGTTTTCAGGCACACCCATTTGATTCTTTGTGAAGATATACCTTCATGTGTATTTCCAGGTTTCTGCCAGCGAGATATTTGTCCAAGGATTGGTTTCAGGGACAATTTCGAGGACACCAATGTTTGTTTTTGTTACCCCCTATTAATATGAGGGTTCCAATATGTTTCAGTCCTAGATTTTCCATGATTTTCCCTCATACCCATCAATTGAGTTTGGGTGTACAGTTGCCCAACAATGGGTTTAGCCACAGAGGACATCTACGAAGAGTCCCAGTGCCGGAAGCCGATCCTCTATCTCCTCACAGCAGGTGTGACCGACCATTGATGTGTGTGAAGGAGCATGACACAGTGGAATGCACAGCTTGAAAACAGTTGTGATTCCAGTTGTGATTTATGCTGTAGCCTTCAGCTTTGACGGAGGTTTCTGTACTGACGGGCCATTCACACGACCTTGGCACAGGAAGTGATCCCACATTCAGCATTGATGAGCTGGCCAAGAAAAAGAAGAAGTATCCCACCGACAAGGTGTGGCCCGGAAACGTTGCTTTGCCGGGCTTGCTGATTCGCTGCTTTTTTTGAAAACATATTTGGGATTCATGTGCTGGCACCTCTGGTTACACACTTTTGCAGTCCAGAACTCCAAGAAATAGTGCTGACAAAAAGTGTCCCAAGTCATGTCCCAAGTCACACCGGGTGGTTCCCTCCGACCCACCTCCAATGGTTGCGCCGGCACCGCTGTCCCGGTGAGGTCTCGATGGGCGAAGGACAAGAGAAGGTCGCGAGAGTTTCTTGGCGTTGCGGGTCCATCAATAGGGATATCATGGGGATGTTATGAGATATATATTGGATATATAATCAACCATTTTTATGAAGATATTCTGAGATATATAGTATGAACTATGATGAGATATAATGTGGTTAAAACAATTTTATATACCACCCATTTGGGAATGGTTTAAACCAGCTATTTATGGTGATTTGGGGGATGGTTTATGACATTGTTTTACCCACGTTAATGGGATATCATGGGATATCATGGGATATCATGGGATATATATATATATATATATGTAGAGTCTATATATATATATATGGTTTGTTGGATTCTGGTGAGGAACCAGGGAGGTCTGAAGCAAGATCCGAGGAACATCATTACAGTAACCCAAAGATGGGCTAGGTCAACGCCCATCTCACGGCCAAGAGGGAGAAACTGGGAGGGAAGATGCGGGACGATGAGAGATGGATCTAGAAGTAATTGTGTTTCTGTCATTTGGGTTTCTGTTTCACTTACAGATGCATCCACAATTCTCAGGTTTTATCTACCCCACCTTAGGTGGCGAAAGCCTTGATGGTTGCTGCCTGATTCATTCCCGATCTCAGGAGAAGAACAATGCAGCCTTCATCACTGGTGGGTGGGTCATTTTGCAGAACTCGCATCTGGGCATTGGCTGCTTGGTTTGAAGTCCTTGGGAAGTAGCTGGGTGTCTGGGTCTGAAAAGCCTTTGGTAGAGCCGTGAAACGTGACGAGAAAACACTTCTACAGTTTGCGGTTCCCCAAGGCTTTTACTTTGCAGTTCAACCTCCTTAGTATATAAATATAATCTACTTGACTACCCTATTTATTCAGCTGGGTTTACAACCCACTTGCGAATCATAGGATGAACCACCAAGCAGGCTCCACAGAATCCCGGAATCCTATGCCACGGCAAGGGGGCAGATCACCTGATCGCCACAGGCTACATGTGCGAGCTGGAAGATGTCTTGTTGAAGACCCCAGAGATTGATGAGGCATTCAGGCGCACCAAAGGGGGTCCCATTTCACCTGGAAAAGTGTGGCTTCATGGAGCAACATAGCTGCGGCTCAAGATGATTGAGCCTAGTTGGGGTTGAGGGTGTGACCAAGCTGCAGGCTGTGGATTACCTGTGCTGGGCTCAGTACTGATTTGCCTTGTGAATACAGGGTTTGTTTGATGGAGATGGATGGAGTACCTTTGATTAACCTGGATAGAACTGTACAACCACAATTTCAGACCACCATTGAGGTGGTTCAACCATGGCTCCCGTCCTTAAAATCATAGCCAAACAGTCCATCGATCCTATACAGCAATCAATAATGATAATTAAGAACAATGTGCAAGTGATAATACTACGGATCATCAGCATCATCATCATCATCATCATCATCATCATCATCACCATCACCATCATCACCATCACCATCACCATCACCATCACAATAATGATAATCACCATCACAATAATGATAATCACCATCATCATCTTTGAAATATATGGGACAAAGCAGTTGTAAATCAATAACATCAACATTATCTTTACCACTCCGTGATTTTCAAGCAGGCTGTGCCAAATAACAGGACAACCATGCCTACACAGATGATGTGCAACAGAAAATGCTCAATGGTAGCTATGTGGGCATGGAGCAATGCGCAACACCCAAAGAATGGGTAGGTTACTGCCGTAGTATAAGTTTCTTTGCAGCTTTGTTTGGCTAACATATATCGTTTGCAAAGTCCCTGCACGGCCTGAGGTGAGATCACTCTCAGGTTCCCCATTGGCTTGTTGCAGATTGCTATCAAGGCTTGGAAGCGAAGGGAACAAACTGACTGTTTCACCTGGTCACTAAGCAGGAATTGCATAAACTGAAAAGGAGGACCCCTCCAAAATATGATGATCAACCATGGGAATGTTTAGAGTTTTCTCATGATTTTGAGAAAAAACTCAAACAGGGAAAGAACCACGCGCTTAGAACAAAAAAGCTTGGGAGCAACAAAAATGACCATACCCTTCGGCAATTAAGCGTGGCAATGGAACCCCCCCAATAAATGAGGATTCAAATGGGAAATTCATCTATTGATGGATATTAATGGGGATTTTCCATTGCCATGTTTGACACCCCAGAGGGTATTTATGTGGTGCTGGGCTGTTTTGGGCAACACACTCATCAAGATATCCGACTCGTCCCTGCCTTTCGTACTTAAAACTACTGGCACCTCATTGGTATCCCGTAGATTTTCCATGAAAAACAACTTAACAAGGAACATTTAGCTCTTTGTTGGTTGGATGCTCCCATTGTTGATGGGTATAGCCTGTTATAGCAACCCCAAAGAGATAGACAAGCAAAACTCTACTGAAATAGTGGCAAATGACTCTTCCACCATTTTCCACCTTTTGGCAGGGCGGAAAAACCAACCCATCAGCTTGGCCGAAAGCAGTAAAACACCGATCGAATCTGCAGGTCACTTTGGAGCCGCCCGCAGGGTTGAAGGCTGGTCTCTACCGCACCTACAGCACCATGGTCTCACAGGAGCTGTTGGACAAGACGCTTGGAACGAAAGGTGCAGGTCGTGTTTATATTCAGGGCGTTTAGTAGATTGCTATAATCCCAGAGCTTTTCTATTTTAGTCATTTTAGTGGGACTTGTTATTTTCTATCCCAATTTGTAGATTGCTATGATCCCAGACTTGGATGATGGGAAATTTAGAGGAACCCTTGAATTGCTGGAAACTTACCGATGGTTTTCTGCAGCATCTCCTTTCAGCCCAAAGTCGAAGTCTGAGAGCTGGCAGCGTTTGCACGTTCCCAATGACTGAGCCAAGTCATGAATGGGTCCAGTACATTTCACCAAGGGTTCCTTTGGAGGTATTTAAGATTATGGTCAAGGGATTATATAATTCTGTTATCTCGTGCTTTCTTTGAAGACAAGACAGTGACATGAATTGATTTAAATCTAACGGGAACCATCTTTGGAGTTTGAATTCAATTAATGAGCGAAAACGCACCGGGTGCAGAACTATGAAAATAGTTGGCCCATGTTGGCCCCAAATCCAATGGTTTGCCATCATTTTCCTCTTTCAAGACGCCCAAATAGCAAATTCTGAAACCTTCAACTCTATGGATCCAACTAACGTGAAACTCTGCGATGAGGATCGATTTGCCGCAGTGGAGAACACTAGTCTTTGTACAGGCGCGACCTTGGCTTCAGATATCCAGTGTTTCTATGTTGGGTTGGTTACCCTTAGGCAGGGTTGCTTGCTACATCATATTTGTTACTATTTGTTGGAAGCCTGGAAACCAGTCAGCGGGTAAAACTAGACCCAGCTTTGGCCCCCGTCTTTGAAACACTGTTTGCCAGTGCAATTAACCTGAAAGAGATTTCAATAGCATCTTCAGTATGAACACCGTCTAAACCTGGAAATTCCAGCAGATAGCCTAGAGGGTTTGTCCCCAGTGGTGGATCCAGTCATCGTATTCAGAGTCTGTGTTGCAACCAGACAGTGGACACAACTCACTTTGCACATCTGTGACAAATCTTGACCTGCACCAGTACTTGCAATCTATTTGTACGTACATAGTCAATATACTGTATGTAGACACATATAATATATATATATAACCATAATTTCATAGATTTGCATAGATACACATAGATGTACATAGATACCCTTGTGGTGTATCTCTTATCATCTCTTATCTAGATTTCTAAAAGAAAAACACACACACACACAACCACCATATGGGGCTGGATCAAAACCCTATGCTATTTCCAGCCCCACCTTGGCGGAAGGCCTTCTTGCACAGTATCGTGCAGGAGAGGCGAAAGTTTGGCCGAGAGCTGAGCCACGTTTTTTCTGTCTAAGCTATCTGAGCAGTGGCTGCCCAAAAATTGGATCTAAATGGGGTTTCAACTATCAATGTCTTGTTTTGGTTGGGTTTCAACTATCAAAGATATTGGGATATGATTGACAACTAATGATGATTGATGATTGGTGATCTAAGAGGGGTTTTTATACTATTATCCTTGATTGCGGATTGTGAACCCACCCATCATGGGAATCCCGTTCTGAACTAACCAGTAGGAGGACAGAGGATTTTGAACATTACTCCTCTGCCGGCATCCCATTTGTGATTTATACCGAGGTCCAATTGGCTGGTGCATTCCCTACGAGTACAACAACTCGGATCTGGATGCATGTCTCTCTGCTCCAGTTGATTTTGTGTCTCAAAGTGAAGGTAAGGTTTTCTGGCCCGGCAATAGGCCCACGATTTACGGGCAAACTAAATTATATACTTGAATGGATCAGAATGTAGCACCGAGCGGGAAGCGATAAAGACTTTCGAAGCATGACTTCTGACGCTGTCAGAGAATTTATGGTGGAGCAAGGACTTGAAGGTCTAAAGGACTAAAACCGGGGGCTTCTTAAAAAATGCGAATCAAGGCGAGGGTAGCTGGAGGGCTCTGCTATCGTCTGTTTGTGCAGGCCCATGTTTGCCTGTCATGCACATTCCTGGCACCTCCCAGGCTAGCGAGTTGAGTTTCGGTTGGAAAATATTGGTCTCAGGGTCAGGGTGGCTGTAACCTTGGTTATCAAATCGGACAAGCCCCACCTGGGGGTTTCTTGCAATGTTTTGGACCCCCAAATCATCAAAGGTATCGGCCACTTGAAACATGGGGAAACCAATGATTCTGTGGGGGTTACCCCATATCACTGGCTGAGGTTTGCTCTTCTTGGAAAAGCATGTGTCCACCACCATCGTGGCGGGACAACCAATCTCTTGGGCACCTGGACTGAAGAATATGAGTGGTAGCTGAGGGTAGCCAGTGGTAGCTGAGGGCCCGCTTCCACAATGGGAATGCCAAATCCACAGGGCTTCTGCTGATCTCTGCTGATCTCTGATCCATTTGAGGTCACTGTTCAGTACATGGTGGCGGAGGCTCAGTACGGTGGTCGCATCACAGACGACCTGGACAGAGAGCTCTTCAACACCTATGCGGCCAAATGGTTCTGCTCCTTGCCAACCTTGCCAAGGGAAGAAAGGATTAGATAAGGGAAGTGCTCAGCTCCCTCTGGGGGGTTATCGCAACGGAGCAATACTTTCCCCTTCATGGCGATGTTGGGGTTCATCAAAGGACGGGTGATTTTGGTGCAGGTGAGAGAAGACTTACAATCCAATGGCTAGACTTAGCACTGGATATTCTGTGTGAAGGTCTTACCTTTTCGGCAGCTTTTTCTGCAAAGGTGACGATATTTGGAAGCCATCCTTCACCTTCAACAACTACCAGTCGCAATCTCAGCTTTTGAAGTTGGCGTGATTTCGTAGATGCCTGTCATGTTTGGTGTCGTTTGGGGACATCCAAATGCATGTAAACAGCATGACACCCAAAATATATCTCCTTTCTATTTCTGCATTGTTGAGACTGTTGAATAGCCCGGTATAGGTTGGGAAAGGTGGCGCCCCTTCATGGGGGACGCCGGCAGCGACCGCACGGAATGAAGGTCTGACTACAACTACAAGATTCCCGAAGGCTTGGACATCGCACAGTACAAGGCTTGCGACCTGCGATTTCTTTAGTGTCACTGGCATCGCAAAGTGGAAGCCCCAAAGGTCCAGCGATGTTGGTCAGTTCTTTGCTACTTACATTAGAATCAAATAATGTCCTTCCACTCATGTCATGAGAGCTCTTTATGAAGTTAATTTTCAATACGAAACCCCTCTGGCTTGACCCATCCGCACCTGGCGATACAGGAAGCTATTGATACGATCCCATCAGTGGATTCTCCATTGATCTTCGGTGTCTTGGCACCACCAGATACGTATACCTTCCTGGTATACATTATACAATGATACAATACATAAATTGATATACATATATATGATCATATATGAATATATCACATATGTTTTATTTGTGCATACACACCACCTGCACGATTCATTGGTACGCACGCCTACCTATGTCTAAGGTCTGCACAACAACGCCGATCTGACATACCGAATGAAGGAGGCTTCTGAGAATCTCGAGCAAAATCAGCGGTCCACTTTTTGCGGAAGGGGGTGACATGAAGCCTCTGGAAGTAAATCAGCTGATGGCGTCGAATCTACTTAATTAACTCAATTTGGATTCCACATTGGGGGCATAAGAATAGGTCAGACTTTTCCTGAGGAAGGTTGTCGAAGATTGAGATCGCTGTTGAGCTAAAAAACGAGAGGGGGTGGGTTGTCAGCAACGAAGAGGATCACTGCAATAAGTGACTCACCCAGCCCCATATCTCCTCAAAGCACCCACTATCGTTCCTCGTATATTTGGGTCTGTCTGAAACAGGTTACCTCGAAATCAACCGGTCAATCACTATCTTCTCTCTGAACATGCATTTTTTTGGAATACTGTATACCACCCCATTGTCACTGTCACTGTCACTGTCACTGTCACTGTCACACACACACACCCACGCACACACACACACACACTGGTGACACCTTTGTAAGTTAATAGTTATTTTCCTAATATTGATTTATTTATATTTATGTCATCTCGACATCTAAAAAATCTGATGAGGATCTTCATCAATCTCCACAATCTTTCCAAGTTTTGGCCCACCTACTGATTTCGAGGATGATCACGACCATCATTGAGACTCAGCCAAAAGACTCTGGAGGCTCAGGAGGCCGGTTCGCGACGATGAACTTGGTGATGGAAGAAACACAAAGGGGTTTGACCAGTAAAAATGATAACTCAACCGACATGAAAAACATATGAAATCTAGTCTTCAGATGTCTGGAGGATTTTGGACACACGGATTGCAATTGGATTTAGCGAAGAATCCTTGGGGATTTCTCTGGCAGACATGCGAAGATCAACCAAGAACATGGGGACGTAACCGACCACTAGTCGGAGATAGTCGGAGATAGTCGGAGAGAACCAAGAACCCCAGGCGTGATCATTTTAAAGTGACTCAACTCAAGTTTTGCGGCCCATGGCTCGCAGGCCCATTTTTTACATTTTTTTACTGGATGCACTGAGGCAAATCCACAGATGAGATCGTCAAGGATTTGTGTGCCTTGGCACTGAAAAAAGATGCGATCTTTCAGAAGTGGCGCTCTGAAGAATTGGGAACATTTGGGAACCAGAATCAGATCAGAATCAGATCGATTTTGGGCCGGTCATGTGGGCCGGTTGGTCGACTGGTGTCTACTGGTCCATCTGAGGCTTGGACTACCTAGCAAAGATGCACCTTGGCAGGACGATGCCCTCGTTCACATGGCTGGGAGAGATGATCCCAGTTGACTCATGTGGTGAGACCAACCAGCTCTAGATTTCGTCAGATTGAACTCCTAAGGCCCTAAGGTTCTGAAGAGGCATACAGTTTCCCCAAACAAGTGGATTTCTGTTTGCCGGACCCACTTTTGATATCGATATTCTTTTTTGTCTCCTTTTCTGCCTGATGATTGTTGGTTTCCAATGGTTTCCACTATTCTTGACGGTATCCATATAGATCTCCCCACTTCGTTTCTGCTTTAAGGCCAGCCTATTATTGGCCGCGTTCACGTGTCGCCCAGGCCGCCGGATTTCGTTGAGGAGATCTTCCGTGCGCAGATCCAGAAGTTGGCAGGACCCAAAGACAAGGGGGTCGTCATTGACAAGGCGCTGGGGAAGATGTCAACGCCGCGGTTGAGCAACCCATGGGGTGAACGACTCAAAGTCGGGTGCTTCCCCGCCGCAGGGCTTCGGGGCTCCTCTGAACATCTTCTTGTTCCAGGCGATGCGAAGAGTTTGGAACATGCTCGGTGTTGATATGGGTCAAAAATGGTCAAAATTAGAGGCGCCCAGGAATACTTTTTGAAGTAGAATGTCACTGAATGTCACTCCCTGATGACCAATTTTTTGGATGGGTTCCTGCCTTGATTCTGACAATTTCTCAGTGAAGGGCGACAGAATTTCTGTCGTAAATGCTTTTTGACCGACAGCCCTGATGTTTTACACCGAACTGACTGGTGGCTGTGATGAAACATCTCTCTGCCTAACTTTCCTTCTACGAGACTGGAACCCTTGCAGGAGTTGCAGCGTTTGCAGAACATCATTAGCATTGTGCGTACCAATCTGAAGCGGCTCGGGTTTTGAAGGTTTTTTTTTGTGTTTTTTTTCTGTTGTGATGTGAAGGGGTGTTCGCTTTCTATTTCTGGTTCACATCCTCTTGGTAAAGCCATCTGCTGAAGGTAACCTTTGAACATTTTCCCATTGAGTCACAATGTTGATCCAGTTGATGAATCTGGTGTTTGTTTTGCGGCAAATCTAAGATTCTCAAATTGCAGTTAACGGGTTTTCGGCTTAATGTTTAGAATCTACTTGACGTATCTGAATTTGATGTATCCTTCTCTGATGATTAGGATGGCCTTCCCATCCTTGCGGTCATTGTCACTTGAGCAATGGCCCAAACCACTGTCGACAGGCTTTTTTTTGTTGGGGCAGGTGGTTATACTGCCTGGTTATACATATTAAATCCTTAATAAAGCCTAATATTACAGTACTATATGGTCATCCCTAATGACATAAATATTCATTGCTACAATGACTCCAGTGTCTAGGAATGTGGCTGCAGCCATTGACGGCACTGTGGTGATGACGACCGAGCTCATGGTGTGAGTCCCAGAGGGTGACGACTCGTTTATGTAGCTTCATGGCTAGTGGGATAGCCACCAAAAAGGTAGAAAAGTAGAATCCTACTTACCTGTAGTTGGTGTAGGGATGATTTTGTTTCTATGGTCTTTGCTATATGTAAGCTTGTGTCATGAAGCGGACACATATACAATATATGTATATATATATATCAATAGATGGTGAACCGGGAAAATAGACACATACATGTCCCCCCCGCGGAGATGTTTTCTCATTCAAGAACCACTGACAAATACAAATGGTTTCAACCACAAATTTCGGGATATCCTGGTTGTCCCGGCTGAAACCGGAGGGCCTCCAAATAATGGAACGCCGTTCTCAGGAAGACTTGGGATTCCTCTTTGATGCTCGAGTGCCGCGAGGTCTTGAGGGCTGTGGTGATGACCATGGATCAACCTATGTTGATGGATCATGATGGATCATAATCTTTCGTTTTTGCTGACCCACTTCATGTCAGTGAGATGATTACCTGGATGATTATCCAGTTATGCAATGGGAGTGAACCAAGAGGATTTCGCTGGCCGACCCAAGTGCAAGTGGTAGTTCGTACGGGAAACCACACCAACATGGTCTTACATTTCTGAGTTGGCATACTAAACTTTACGAACCTACCCCTGATTTTCTTTTTTTGTTTGACGGAACGGAAATCATGGAGCTGTGCAGGGACTTGGTTTGATGGCATTGATGGCCCATGAGATCTGCTTGACGGCCGCAGGTTGGACCAACGATCCCAGTGGAGCGGAGATTTCGTGGCTGATGCCCAACTTGGGAGGCCCATGTGGTCATGGCTGCCATCTCCCGACTGGGGGGATCACCGTATCACATGTGAGTTGTTTGACAACTCTCGAGCCAGTTTTCCTGATGTGTGTTTGTCCAACAGGATTTGTTATCACTTACCAGCCTATGATAATTTTGATATATTTTGACGGGGAAATGATGAGCACCCGGATTTTGAGGTACCCAACTTTCAATTCAAAGCCATAGCAGCCATAGCATCCACGGCTCCAGGTTGGTTTACCGGTCTCACGGAGCGACAACAGAACCTTGGTGCAATACTGATTGGTTCATTGGTTGGTTCGTTGGTTCGTTGATTCGTTAGTTGGTTACGTCGTTTTCAAACTTTCCATATCTTTCCATCATTGTTTCGGGTAGACGATTCAACTGAATGTTTTTTTTGGGTGGGCCACACAGCAGATCCTCAGGATGCTGAACACCTGGTTGGAACAGGGGCGAGAAAAGATGAAGGCCTGTGAATGACTGGATATCTGGGCATGTTGTGGGCGTGACCCTGAACCCTCTCTCTTGATGTACATGAGATGTAGCTGTACAAAACGGATATTTTCGTGGGAGTTAATGTGTAAAGTGCACTTCTACATGTTTACACGCTGACATTTTATCATGCATACACATGTAGTATAATATTTATATAATTATATATATATATATATTATAGACACACTATAATATATGCACATACATATATGTATACATATGTATGAATTATAGAATTAATAAGAAGCAGGAAGGTTATATAATATAGCCTACACGTAGCCAACCTTCACCTCCAGCGACTGCGGCACCAACCAGGCCTTTTGGATCACCGGCTTCACCAACGCCCAAGGATTTTTGACGGGAATGCGCCAGGAGGCAGGTTTGAATCTGTTGGTTTTGTTACTAAAGATGGATAAAGATCCCACTATCATTCTATCCAGATCATGTTGGGAACTGTTATCCAACTTGAAACATGTTGTGTTTTTCTTGGGTAAAGATCCCACCATGATATGAACATGATTGTTGAAGCTGGAATGATGTAGGTTTGGGGAACGAAAAGAACCTAGGAACATCTTGGACCCATGCCCATACTGTTTCTGGGTGTTTCTTGAGGTGTTTCCCAAGCGGTTGAACAGCAGTTGGGGCGGCTGGAACCAGGTGACGCGACAGCACAAGAAGGATCAGTGGGCCCTGGACGATGTCATTTCGCACACGGACGTGCTTCTTAGCTGCGGAGGACTTCCAGTTGTCGCGCTGTTGCAATTTTATTTCATTCACTTCCGGTGGATTTTCGCAACGATATTGATTTGATAGACACCATATTTATTCACCTTTCACTCTTGCCCTGACAAGTGTTGCTATGGTCTCTATGTCCTCAATCATCTTCAAGGAATTTTGTCTCTGAGGCTGGCGAAAGACTTGGAGCGACTGGGAGACAACACTGGACCTCCGGAAGAGGGACAGCTGCTTGGCGTGGTATTCAGGATATTTCAGTATGGATCTCCTATCATCCTATCCTACTTCGGCTTCCAGATCCAGGCCCAATAATATTGCACCACCCATTGCGGAGGAGTCACATTGTGGATGGGTCATGGTTACTGTTTGAAGTTTACCACATGATGTTCTGGCTGATTTTTCTCCTGGCCCAGGAACATCTGGGGCCTGTTCATCGAAGGTGGTCGCTGGAACAGACAGGAGACTGGCTAAGAAGCGTGTTTCGATTTTTTGGTTCCAGCGCAATCCACAAATTCAATCGTTGGAAGCCCTTCTTGTAAGTCAGTTCATCAGGCTACATCCCGATTTTGCTGATTCTGCTGGTGTGATCTCAATAGCTTTGCAGCAGCTCTTGAGTTCCATCCTTGATCTTTCAGGGCGTGTATACCAGCGGTGTCACCTCGTCGTCATGCTTGGTTCCACTGCTTGGTTGAGAGGCTTTTTGTCCATGGGACCGGGTAATGATAATCCCTGTCATATCTGGTTCTATGACGTTAAGGCTTGACCATCAACAAATGTCTTCAACTCGCCGCTGATGAAAAGGACAGCCGCATTGAAGAATCTGAGCCGAAGAAGCTCTTTACCACAATGCCAGTGATCTATGTCACGGCCATCAACATGAAAGACCTCAAGGCAAGGGCATTTGGTCTTCCAGATTTCCAGATTGGATCAAAACCCAAATGTATCCTGGGACATCAACATGGCTGGTAAATAACACGTTTATCAACAATTTCTATGTGCCAAAAGTTGGACTCTCCACCCATATTTTCCCATGGTCATACCACCATTTTTTCTTATAGGAACATCATATATACTATCATATACCCGTTGCCAGGAGTGCCATGATACTGGGATGACGATACCTCATGTGTTTCCCATGACCATTGGCACAGCGGTGAGGGTATGGGCCTGAACTACGGCCCACATGGACCCTACAACACGGCGGTCTACAAGTATCCCAAGAGTCACTTGGGCCAAAAAATGGGGGCCTGTAGAGATGATCTTGAGATTTCTGGATTTTGCAATGGAAGATTGGTCGAGAGGGGAATTGCAAAACGTGGATTGCTGGGAATCCAGCAGAACATCTCCGGTTGAAAGCAAAAACTCCTGTTGAAAACAAAAACTCATGTTGAACATGAGAATTCTAGCATCCCTGTTGCTCAGTGGGTTCGGGCGACTCAGGAAATGATCGTTACCTGATCTTCCGAATGTTGCTCCGGACTGAGTTGCATCCGTTCCATTGGAACCTTGGCATTTTGTATTGATGGAACCAGTGGGAGGGTTAGGTCATCGAATTTGGAGATGCTAAAACCTGTTTGGATAGTTCTGAGTCAATGAGAAGCAATTTGGTGTGCAATTTGGGGGCTTTGAGCGCCAATCTTTGGTGACCCAGGAAGCTTCGTGGCGTGTGCCTTGTGGCACAGACAGAGTAGAAGGCAACTCGGCACTGGAGCCAACCACCAAAATTGATGGTGATCTATGGCCTATGGATGTGGAGGTTTCCTAACTCATGGGGGTACCCCCCAAATCATCCAAGTCATGGATAAGCATTTTGGTATTGAACCCAATGGTAAGTTGGGGATTCCCATATTGGGAAAACCCCGATATCTATGAAATCTATGAGAATCTATGGGGTGCACCAACCAGCTACATCTGAGGTTAGACGGCCTGCAGAGTCTGAAATCTCGCGGAACACCTTGGGTGGAGGGGCAAAGCAGCCAGTACAGCGATGATCAATCGGTATTTATCATTGACAACGAGATATGGCTTTGTCCACGGTGCCCCAAGATCCCATGGTTATCATTAATCAACTTCCCCATTGAAACGGCTATTTTGTGATATCTTCCATTTTGAGAGAATCTCATATGTCTGTTCTTGTGGCAGTTACCAGAATTTCTGGTCCCTTGTTGATATTAACAAGTGGATGGTCATAATCCAGTCATTGTGTTTGATGATGAACAAACAACTGCACAGATTCAGCAGAGACTTTCAGCATGACGTGCGTTGCTGGTTCGCGCAGCATGACCTTCGCCCGATGTGCTGTAGACTAATGATCTCTTCCGCGGCTCTGCGAGAAAAAAATGCATGTTTCCCGTCGCGTGGTGAATGACCACCTTGCCGAACTGAAGCGATTTACTGTAGCTCGCGATTTCAATCCATTTCCTGACCCAGTACCAGAGGAGACAGCATTGAGCTTTACCAAATATATTAAAAAATATATTATATATATTATATAATATACAAATACACAATATATATATAATCATATAATCATATATATATATACATACATACATACATACATACATACATACATACATACATACATACATACATACATACATACATACATACATACATACATACATACATATTCTCAAGAATTAGCCATTCGTGAGGCGACAAAATGAGACAAAGAGAGCGAGCTGGAAGTGGTGTCAAGAATGTCTCTCAACAGGTTGGATGCAATGTTCAGATCTGATCCGACTGCCTAAGGCGGACGAGAGACCAAAAACAGATGAGGTGAACATGCCCTTTTTCCCCCTTTGTGAGGGCTGCATCCAGCGGAGAACCGCCACTTTCACCCACTTTCAACATGTCCGACAGAGATAAGATTTACTTGAGTTGGGCAAGTTTTTGCAGCAGAATCCGGGGATTGCAGAGTCAAAGTATCCCATATCCCATCTGAATTTTCAAAAGGTCGGCACTGACACCTGGTCACCTGGTCGATCCCCAACAGTGTTGACATGGAGGTGATGTTTGAGTTGTGAAAAACCATTGAACAACGACAAAAGCAGCTGCTATGGTGCGGTCTTCTGCTGGATGCTTTGAGAGCTTCGGCTGGTGCTTCATCCCTGGGTTTCGAGGGTCTGCTGGTTTGATCCGCAAAATGAATCGAGTGGCCCTTCCTTCGAAACTCAGCCCTCACAGAAACTGCTGCTGCATGCCGCTTAAAAGATGCCAACGGGACAGGACGCATCAAATCTTGGCCCATGTCACAATGTGACTGTAACCCACTTTTGAATTGGGATAGGCCTACTTCAGGAACTCCATAACCATGGTTACTGGTTACTACATAGGGCCGCTGGGCACCATATACTTCCCCAGTGAGATGATTGTATGGGGAAGTTTGGAAGGTTGATTGTTGGTGACATGTTGTTGATTTCTTCCAATCATTTGTTTTTGGACATAGAATTGTGAGAAGAACCATATCTAATTATCTGAAGCCATAATGTCAGCCAGCATTATGAGCAACAGTTTACAAAGCAGATTTAACCCCTGTGGGTATGGGTCAAACTGGTCAGCTCCCTCAAAATGGACAGTTGATACCAAAAAAGGCAAAAATTGTGGATTTATTTGTGCACCAATTTTGGACCCATTCGCATATTTGGGGTTCTGAACACGGGGCCCAAAGCCACTTAAAATGAGTAATTTCTATGGTCCGGGGGGGTACCCAATTTGGAGAGACAACCAAAAAATCCCAAAAAGGGTTTGTTTGCAGACACACCTATATATATATATTTATACATCTCTCTCAAACTCTTCAAACATCCCCGCTGAAGCTACACAGGTGGAGCAACCGTCGCTTCTGTCCGTGCGGCGTAGCGCCACTGCGCTGCAACGTATGATGGTCCAGGTGCCAATTGAATGCCTGGTGAAAGATGTGTTTCCCAATGGAATGTGAGGGTTCTTGGCGGTTGCTCTTCTTTTGGATTTGGACATGGTGTTTCTTGGGGATAGGAAGCTGTTTTGTTCAATTCGGACAAGGTGATTTTTGGATGTTTTCTTGGGCTTAAGACGTTCTAATTTGAATTCAGTTAAGGCAACATAGATTCGAAAAAACTCTTTCTGTAGTACAGGAATGGTGGACTTCTCCTTTTCCATCTACCTTGAATGACCGGTATATACACTCAATGTGTTGCTGCATCGTTGATTGGTGGTTTCAACCAAAAGATGATCCCAGTTGACTACAAGGTGGGCCCCTCAGTTTTGAGTTGGTTTATAACTTATGAAAACCCCCCATGGCTAAAGAGATATTTACCAGATTTTACCATAAACCATATTGAATCTCTATATTTATTCATCAGCTATCTGGGGACCGGACCATTTTTTTTGGTTCGATGGCTTGAAACCACCAACGAGTTTCCCAGGACGAGGCATGGGCTTCATGCCTTGCCAAGCACCTGACAACGTTGGAAAAGCAACCGCTGACTGAGGCTGGTAGCTGGGCATGGCGAAAAAGGGGCACTGTCTGACTACGAATGATACCTACACATTGTTACATATATGTGTATACATACATATATATATATATATATACATACATACATTACATTGCATTGCATTGCATTGCATTACATAACATTACATTACATTACATTACACTACACTACACTACATACATACACACATACATACATACATCCATCCATCCATCCATCCATCCATGCATGCATGCATGCAGACAGACAGACAGACAGACAGACATGCAGACATGCAGACATGCATGCATGCAGACATGCATGCAGACATACATACATACATACATACATACATACATACATACATACATACATACAGACATACATACAGCCATACATACAGACACACACACACAGCCATACGTACGTACGTACGTACGTACGTACGTACATACATACATACATACATACATACATACATACATACATACAGTAATATGAATGATAGGCTTTTCTGGCATGTAAGGCCATCCGAAATAGTTAGATAGAAACGTAGGCAAGCTGAATGAGTCAAATCAAACAACTTTCGGCCGAAGCCGACATTTCGAGCATTTTGCTATCAGACCATCCAACTTCTACATGTCCAACCTTGATGCGTAAGTGAATGAAGATCTGATCACCAGTGAATTTGAACCCTCACGATGACTGGTTGAAAGGATTGTACATGTACATGCTTAGATACAGCAGAACCAGCTTCAAACCCATTTTTCCCAGCGCAGTTTTCCTAGCATCACGGACGCAGATGCGGTGATTGACTTGCCAGGAAGAGAGCCGTTCGTTGAGCACTGTGGTGGTGCGGCCCCTGGGAATCAGAGATCCACACTGGAGATAGGTTCCGTGGAGGATCATCCCACGGATTGTAACTGGTTGGTGTTCGTGACTGTTCGTGGCCTCAGTTTCCCCACTTATCCCCCCAAAAAGGGCCCACAGAAATGGGGGACTCGTTCAAACGGACATCAATCACCTGAGTCATCAAACAAGATACATCAAGATATCATTCATGAACCAACCGGATAGGGGCCCACGCTCACCGCGTCACCAGGACGCCTTTGTCGCGCTTCAAGGACAGCTCTCCGAAGAAGCACGGACAGCAGGGAGCCACAGCTGCAATGGATTGGGTTGGATTACCCGGGTTACCCCATTTTGAGACCCAAATTAAACCTTTTCAAGTTATGGGATTGTGCAAAGGCTTGCCAGCCCCTGAAGGCTAGAGGGTGCCAAAGTTGAACCGATTCTGAATATATCACATAAAGATTAGATACATCTGCGCTCTTCTGCAGAGAATCGATACCGATTCGTTCAAGTGCTTCGCGGTCCAAATGCTGCGGCTTTGGTCGAACATCTGAATTTCTTCGAATACCCGTGTTGGGCAGCCATTAAATTTTATGTGCTTGGTGCTAAAAGAACTTGGGATATTACAGAGTTCCCAATATTTCCCATTTGGGTTTTGGACATCACCTGGAACAGGCTTAACTTCAAGAGGAACAAGATTTGGAACCTTGTGGTACTACTGTAAACCAATCACTATGGGATGACATGACCCGCAAATCATTGAGATTTCTAACAACCACAGCATCCTTGCATGTACAGTAATTGATAATTACACACAATGTTAATACACTATTTATACATCGAATCTCTCTCTCTCTCTATATATATATATTATACGTATATATATATATGTATGTATGTATTCATAAATAGAAATAATATATATCCCTACATATCTCCATATCATGATCTCTCTGTCTACATTCTATGCCTATCTTCGTAGGCCGCCTGGCTGGGCATCTGCCGGGCAGCCAGCTGCTGCTCTGGAGCTGCTGGGACGCTGGCCTTGGCGCGGCACCTGGCCTGGAACCTCAGAGCCTGGCACCGCTGGTGGTGACCCAGTGGTGACCTGGTGGTGACCTGGCTTTCTGGGGAATATATATATATATATATATATCATGAATATCATGGCAATATCATGGTCATATCATCGTAATAATAATAATATATAAACTGTGTATTATATATACACATAATTGTGTGTATATAGATATATAAACATTTATTAATTGGAGTGTTTTGGGATATTAATTCGGAATATACCCTCTGGCAATCTAACATAGCTGCGGAAAATCACCGTTTGTAGTAGGTGAATCATCTATAAATTGGCTATTTTCCATAGCTATATTAAATTGCCGGAGGGTAGTGGAAACATATCATGGGGATGTACATATATGTATATATGTATATATGTAAATATGTATATATGTAAATATGTAAATATGTAAATATGTATGTATATATATGTATACATACATGTAGATATATATATATGTTTATGTATATGTATTTATATAAATGTAGTCATTGTATACATGCGTATATGTATATATACATATGTATATATACATATACGTATGTAAATGAATAAATGAACAAATATATATATATATATAAATACGTATGTATATATGCATATACGTATGTATACATACATATACACATACATTCATTGGGATATTCATGGGAATATCATGAGGATAGAGTGTGTCCAGCACTTTTTGTTGGGATAGTTATTGGAATTATTTATGGAGAAATTCAGATGGGAATATCATGGAGATGTATTTGGATATGATTGGAATGCTTCAACCCAACACTATTTAGACTATATATGATAGATTTGGGTGCGTCCGAGAATGGGGGATTCAACCATGAACAATAGGGATTGTACTGTATTATAAACCAATGAGTCAGTGGAATGATTTATGGGATGCGTGGGATATAAGAGCAGCCCGATATTGTTTTGGGCTGTGTCTGAAAATGAGGAATTTACCACCAGTTATGGCTATTTTGCAGGCAACATGAGGTTTCAAGCTAGCAATCAGTCTTGGAAAACATGACGCCATATTTACGTCTAGAAAAGTGGATATGGTTTTATGGTTTCAGAGTCTTCTGGGGATATGATATGATCCATACATATATATATGTATATATATGTATATATATATATATATGTGTATATATATATAATGATGAATATCGAATTATATCCATTTTTATAAGTGGGACTGTGGTGCTGGACTTTGAGCCACGATGTGGGTTTCAGCAATCTGTCACTCAATTCGTGGGTCTGTTTGAATCTGTTTGGTCAGCCTTGATAGCTATTCGGCAATGTAACCACTAGTAGGCAGGGATATGATCCACCCAAGAATCAGTTTGGTGTTTTCGACTGTTTTCATGTTCGACCCCAAGAAGCAAAATTACGTTCCCAGGTGACTCATCATATTGGGATGGCTTGAAACCAGCATGGGTTGTAGCCGAACAATGCTGGTGGAGAGTGGCTCAAATACGCTGTACACTTGACCTGCTAGCGACATCCTGATCACCTTGTAGCCCTTCGAGTTTTCTGGTTGGCTTGACATATTTCTATTTTCCATCCCTAGATGTTTCTTTCTTTTCCTGGGTGTTTCAACCCACCATGTTCGCTGAAATCAAGTCATTGAACCTGTAGAAAGTCAGCAGTTCATAACCCTCCAGTCTTGCAGGTGTCAGGCCACATGCAAAACTACCCCAGGTTGCGCCAGAGATGCCTTCAGATCCCATCGTCACAGAGGAACCATGGAGGGCAATTTGTTGGATGTTACCAGGGATGATTCACCCCCTGTGTTGGCGACCCCGTCTTGTTGGAAGGTTTCTTTAGTAGGTAAATTTATCTCAAAAAGTGGGTTTACATCGGACTCCGAAATACTCCGAAGGGATATCTCAGTGGGACTTCCCCACCGGGAAAATTCCCACCAGACATGCGGAATCTCTATAGGGAAGTTCTTTACCAATTTTTGGTTTTCCTAGGGGCCCCTGAACTAAATTCCAAGTTAGTGCAAGAAACTTGGAAATGAAAAGACCCTTAGGTCTTGTGGGATATTGTCCCAAACATTAGTGTATTTGTTTTGTTCCACCAGGCTTAAGAACACGTCAAACACGTTGAACTTTGCAGTATATCAACGTTGGTTCCCGGGGCTCACCATTCAGGCCTTTGAGGCGACGCTGAAGAGAGCTGCGCTGGCTGAACTCGAAGTAGCTGAGGTCAGGGGATGATCCAACAGGGGCAGTGAAAACGCTGATTTTTAGGTTCAAGGCTTTCAAGGGGATACGGGGATCTTATGGTATATATATATATACATGTATACAGGATCAATATTCTATGTGGATTTGTGGATGTTGATAGAAGCGTGCCTCTACCTTGAGGTGCATCCGAATTAGCAAATGGTAAATAAACATGATTGGACTCCGCTCATGGCTCATATATATATATATATACATATGCATTGTATATACATATACACACATACGTATGATATTTGTCTGTTTGCTTATTTACCTATTTGGGAGAACCTCAGGCACTGGAAACTTCCCAAGGTTTTCAACCTCTTCCTTACCTCTTCCTTACTTGGATGCACATCCGAATGGATCCAATCTTTACAAATCTTCCAGACATATCCCATTTTGGGGAAATTGAAACGTCCCTTGAATCAATGGTTGGTTTTTGGGGGGTGCATCTCCAGTATCCACGTGTATGTCTATGTCCATACATATCATAATTTCAACCATTTACTGACTGGGTCTTGCACGTCCAAGTGAAGATCGCGCGCTGAAAACTGGCAGGTGGCTCTTCTCCTGAATGCGGCGGCACGAGCCCCCCGCAGGCTCGGGATGGCAAATCTGCAGGAAGCCATGATTGTTCCCATCTATTTTGATGGGTTTAGAATTGTTACTATCCAGAACATCCTGGAGGTTGATGGGCTAGGAGTTGATTCGGATGGCTGGAGGTGAGTATTCCCTGATTGCATCTCTGAGAACCATCAGGTCCTGTGCTCCCTTAGATCATTGTGAAACACCCTGCCAGGGAGGCAGCTGAACTTTCCCCAGAGGCTCGGAGGAGTCTTTCCGTGATGCAGTGATGGGCTACATAACTAGCAGTTCTGGTATGTAATACCAACGACCAGAGGGACCATAGTTCTCTGGCAGTTATATGTATTATATGTATACATATTATATATATATATTTGTACAAACAAACAAACATACATACAATACAATACAATACAATACAATACAATACATTACATACATACATACATACATACATATCAGCTTCACTGGGAGAAGCGCCGGCATAGGCATCGCTGGTTTTGATGACCTTGGCATCAAGGATGGCGGAACATTTACGGCGCGACGAGGCGCCTATGATTTTCTCGGGGATTTCCCAGGCCATGTTTGATGACTGAGAGGCTATCAATCTTTTCATCCAAAAATGGCACTTTTGAGTACATATAGATTCGGAAGGAGGCACCAGGGCGAGGTTTGTGTTGGAATGTAATCAGAGAACTTGGGAGTGCGCCCTCCCACATGTTACGGCCATTCTTGACTGCATCTCATTCCATGACCGAATGAGTGATTTTCAACATTCCAATCAGGAAGTGGAAACAATTTGAGGTTGAAGATGAACGCTGTGAATTGTGTACCGTACCCGTGACGCAGCTTTGCAGGCTCAATTTGGATAGCATACCTGCGACCACATGAAGTCATGGCAAGACATGGCCGACTGAATTCCATGGTTGACTGATTGGCTTGCGTATCAGTCATGTTTAATCTTGGAGGCTGTTGGCACAGGTTTCTGGCGATTTTAGTACCCAGGTCTCAGCAATGGTAGAGATAGGCGATTCCGATAGGTTGGACGATCCCAAGTTGCAGTTGTACCTCTGCCGGTGGAAACATGGCTGGTGAGGCCGGTGATGTTTGAAAAGGGCTGCATGAAATGGGTCAAAGTTGAGACTAGTTGAGGACCGAGCCAGAGATGAAGTGGATGAAGCGGTGAATGCTAGTCCGAAATATGGAAAACATGGGGGTTTCGTGCTGTTTTCTGAGCTTTGGAGATGCAAATTTGCATTGCCAGGAGCGTTGGGTTCTTTTTGGGAACCTAATGGATCCAACATGCCATGACTCGTTTGGAGATCCAAAGCTACAGCTACCCCTGACCTTCAGGATGAAGCTCTGGACTACTCAGAGTCCTGGGCCCGGATCAGGGTTGGGATGTCACCAATGGTCACCATAGGTTGGAGGAGCCAAGTATTCATATCCTGGGTTTCCTCATGTTCCTGTTCCCTCTTGTTGCATTTGTGCAAATCAGTACTATGCTGGATGAGTTAGCCACGCAGTTTGAGTTTTTTTTTTTGGTGTGTGGTTTTTGGCTTGGGGGTTCGCTTAGAAGGGGAGCAACAAAGCACAAAGTTACAACATTCTTCTTGTTTGTTGCATGGCAACCCCTCCAAGACAGACCCGCTGATGCAAGTGGTCCTGCAGTGGCCCCGCCTTAAGGGAAGAGCCTGCTCCACGCCGCTCAGAGAAGTTTTGGGTGTCTATGGTGGAGGGGAACATGTCAGTGTGTCGCAGCTGGGATACGCACCGTGGACCACGGGGCGTCACTAATGCTAATGTCTTTCGTTTTGCTGCCTATAATTACCAATCAGAAGCTAATTGATTCCATTCCTGTGTTTCTTGCGTTTACAATATCCCCAGTTTCGTTGTGTTTACGCTGTTTCTTTTTCTTTTTGGATTGTATCCCTATATACTATATACTGTTGGCAAGACCAACATGCATCAAACTTGATGACACCCACACAAAACCACAGTTGTTGGTCACCTTCAATATTGAATCTCCAAGCTTGGGGTCCACAACATGTTACTGTGCATCAATCATACTTAATTACATGGGTTTGAATCAAAATTGACCCCCAAAATTGGATACTTGATGATGCTTGATGCTCAAAAACACCAGAATCTGCGGTCCCGTTGGTCTGAAACACACACATCAACTTAGAGGCACCGTGCAGCGAGGGCGAGGCTTTCGAGGCAGGGTTGCGTTGGATGAAACAGGCTCCTGACGGGAAGATTTTATGCCGAAATATGAAGGAGATGAAGGACAACAAAGGACAACAAAGATTTGTTAATTTGCTTTCTTTGCCCAGCATACATAGATTTACTATTCATTGGTAGGATCATGTTTCTTACGCCAAGGACGGGTTGCACATGAATAAATCGGCCAGCTGTCGCCTCCAGGATCTTCGAAAGCGGTCCCACATGATGATGAGGATGGGACACTCGCAGGGCGAACGTCAAACATGACGTGTTGTGAACATGCAAACGTCATCATAGTCCATCTGGGATGGGGACCCAGCTTTCTTGTAAAATCGTGCGAGTGACAGCCTGGAAGGACTACTCTGACAACTTCGAAGATGATTCCATGCAGGTTCTGAGATCAGGGTGTTGTTACTGCAGGGGTCACGAGCTGATGGTCGGCCGGAGCCATGGTGCCATGGCCATTGCTCATTTGGGGACATTTGCCTGCAATCATGGGCATTCTACCAGCACTGATGGGATATTAATGGCGTATAAACCAAAGATGGAGACGTCCAGTAGCAACCAACTGTGGGGATATGAGTCAACCAACATCAGAAGGGAAGCGCCGCTTCACACAGGAATCCCGGGCCACTTCGCAGCACAGTTCTCGAGGTGAGAAATGGACTTGCGGCACCGGGGCAGATTGGGGTGTTTACCTTTGATCCCCACAGCGGTTCAAGATAATCTCATCCAAACTTCATCAAATTTCCATCGCTCCAAATGTTGGAGTTTATTTATGTTCATTTCCAGAACTATACTTTGGGTTTGTCGCCGTGATTGGTATAAAATATGGTATCATCTTCAGTGGAACTTTTTCGCAGCTACGACGGCGACTTTTTCTCCAGGTCCAAGCAGGCCCAGCAGCCCAGGGGTTCTCAGGGGATGGCTTTAGGGGCTTAAGGGGTGGAACAGTCCCCTCAGAGAGTAGTGATCAATTATACTGCCTAAATATATACTGTAGTAGTTGGTAGATCCCAATTTTGTATTTCATACCTGCCATACTGTCACCGGCCCATTGTTTGTTGCGGATATTTTTGGTCATTATTGTCTTTGTTGGTTTATGTTGTTTCTATCCCCCACCATTGATGCTTACATTGCTATTGTTGATGATTGTTTTCCCTACACCATCCTGATCAGGCAGATTATCGTTGGTTCTCTCTCATTCTTAGTTCCATTTGTAGTTTTGCAGCTCATATCCAGCCGTACCACAAACTTGATGGGCTTCACAAAATTGAGCAGTGGCTGAAACCCATGTTGCCCACACTTACATACGCGAGATTCTACTCTTTTTTTCATGGAGATTCGTGCGATTAATTCCAAGAATCTCACCATTTTTCTGGGCTGGATATGTATAATATAATAATATATAATATATAATAATTATATGTATATAATATTATATATTATAGTTATATATATATATATCATAATTATATATATTCCAGTTTGAACCATCGTTCGGTTCGAGTTTTCTTATTGGCTGATGCAATCATGGAACCGAGGCGTGGCAGTGGACCACCCAGTATGGATGCTTAGTTGGGATAGACCAGGTATAGCAGATGTATGTTGACAAGAATATAATATCTACGTGCAGTGTATTATATATATATGATATATGTTATATGTGATGTTTTTTTTTTTTAACTGAATTAATATGAGATCTAACATATTGTAGCAAATAACATATGTATGTGTATATATATATATATACATATACATATACATATACATACGTATGTATGATATGTACACTGTACGCATTTATACACACCCATGCACACATACACATATGTTCATGTTCTGATCAAGACACCTGAGTGTTTGGCAGCGTCGTCAATTGGCAGCCTTTCACACTCGGAGCTGCAGCGGTTTTAAAGTGCAGATGTTCCAACCAACTCCCATTCTTCTTCGTTTAAGATCCCATAGTCCGAGGTAATGTTAGAGCAATAATGATCCGCCCATATTTTGATGGTTGATACCACAAATTGATGGTAAAATTGCGGATGGTTTACTATTGCTTTACTAACATTATTCCCTTGTGAGTGTTGCTTACATCTGCATTTTTTGCCAAGCCAAACTTGAGCTGTCGCAATCTACACGCCGACGCTGCAACGTCACCATGGCTGGAGGGCAGCGAAGGACCCACAGGTCTCATCGAAGACTTTGCTTGGTGCCAGTGCCGCCCTTAAAACAGTCCAAAATCCACACCTGCGCCACTTGCAATGGATGTAGGGACCACAACTGGAGCAAGTCATTCCTGGTTGGTGGGTGCGAAAAGGTGTACTTTCCAAGCCTGTTTGACCTTTTTTCTTTAAACAACTTGGGATCATCAAAATCAAAAGCATGATCTCCAATCTAGTAGACTTGTTTTGAAGTACATCTTCGGGATAGGCTGAAACCAGCAGGTTTTGCTTTGCCGATGACCATGGTGCACGGCTTTCCGGTCAACTGGTCACTCCTAAGCTTGGATGGTTTGCGATTAAGAACAGAAAAAACAAAACGCATGGGGTGAAGATGGTGCCCGTTTTGCGCATTCTGAGCCATGCTCCCATGTTCTGAGCTCTTCCGGTACCTACTCTGCCTGAGGTGCTGGCAGTTCTTTTTCTGGGCAGGACCTTTTCTGCAGGAGGACAGCCATCGGAAGGCACGCTGTCTGCCAAGTTTAGGGGGTATAGTATGGTCAACCCAGGGACCCACAAATCCAGCAGATTCTTTTGGGAAGTGAATCAATTTGGGCCAAGGAAGCACATCCTCAAAGCCGAGATTTTTGTTCACTGTAGCAACTGTAGCAACCCGATGATGCGCAGGGAAGAAGAAAGGCTACCAATTTGGAGACTTGGCAGATCTTGGCAGATCTTGGCAGATCTTGGCAGATCTTGACAGCATGATATGAATCAGTTTTTGGTTATAGTTATAGCGATGTTAGCCACAAGCATCGGACCATCGGATTCAACTGCGGATCGCAGCTGCCCAGCTCTATGATTTGATTTCTATGGCTGGGAGGTGATTTATTCATCAACAAGCTCACTGGAAAAGAGAGCTACGAATTTGGAGATCTTTCCAAATTCATTGGAGGAAAAGTGCAAGAAGCCGTCGGAAATTTCACAGGTGGGCGAAAATTTGGGCCGGCTTGGGACCTAGGCTTAACAGTTGAGAAGAGGTGGGTGATGGTGAACAAAGGGGTGAGATTATTCAACATGTACAATGTACAATTATACATAATTATATATATATATACCTCTACATTCTCTACATAATAATTCTGTATAATACTGTATATATACTGTAATAAGTATAATATCTCTACTTGGATACACAGAAGTAGCAGGTTCAATGATGATTATTCCCGTCCATTCACTGGCTGATGACCGAAGTGTCCGAAGGTCACACTGTGGAGGGGCGTCTGCGGGGTACGTCCAAATGGCCAGTTTCATGGGAATGATGACGATTAACCAGCAGTGGATCAGAGGATGGAATGGGGTAGCCTATTTTGAAACAAAGCCATGATTTATTGTGTACTTTGGAATACTTTAGATCAAGATCTTCAAAGTGGTTCTCTTCAGAGATCGCAGCCATTGATGCTCTTGGACTGATCGCCACCCGTGTTGGGATGCGAGTCGCCAGGAAAGGACAGCTATGAGTTTGGAGACATCACAAAAACTCTGGATGCCAAGGCCAAGGCTGTAGCCTGGCACGAGTCTATCGAGTCCACCTGTCTCAAAATTGGACACCCATTCCATCCCATTCCATCCCATGGTTTGCCAGTATTGCCATGGCCATTTTGAGGTAGTGGATACCTTGTAGACTTGACTTAAACCCATTTGAGGAGTGGGTCTTATCCAACCACAATGGCGCTATGACTCATGTCTTGATACGGTTTTGACCCTGAGACGGGAAAGCACGGAGTGCAGCCTCTGAAGCCGCGCTGCGCCAAGGAAGTATGCAAGGTCACAGGAAAAGATGTCTATGAGCTGGGCGATATTTCCAAATTTCTGGATGGTCAAGCAAAATCGCAGGCTGGTCCAGTGTCTCAAATCTATCTATACAGGACAGTTGGAACAAAAATCGAACAATATCGAACAATAGGTTGGCGTGAACCATTTACAATGGCAGTCAGAGCCGCCAGGTGGCTAAATTGATTGGCAAAGATTCGTATGAATTCGGAGACATCTCAAGGGAGATTGCCAGGAGCCAACGGGTGTGAACAATTTCTCACCTGCAATTCAAAAAGCTTCAGCTGTTGCCATCTCTTTCATGCTGCTTGTTGGCTTTGTCGCTATCTTTTTGGGATTTTGAGCAGTGTAAACTGGACTGCTGGAACGCTCAAGTTTCGTTAAATGCGCGGTGCACCATTGAACAGGAGAGCCAAGGAGGTTGATGTAGATGAGGAGGACTTTCAAACATCAGAGTTATCAAAGCGATGTCCTTTGCCGATTGGTTGATTCATAGAGGGGTCAACCCCCCTCAACAACCAATAGGTTTCAATAGGATTCAATAGGTAAATGATGATAGATGGATATAGGTGGTATACCAAGCCAGCCCTCTATTTTTGAAAGGACATTATCGCTTGCAGCAGCAGCTTGTCACAGCACAGGACCTGTTGCTGCTGCTGCGCGCGGTGATCACAATGGGAGTTGGCTTGACTCCTGTAGCCCATTTGCTGCCCATGCAGGTGCTCCTCAACTTGCGGCTTGGATGTATAGACGGGTGTGGATGAATGACATGGATCTAAGACCAACAAGAACACATACCCATGGGAAAAAACTGGGATACATAACTGGGTGTGTCTAAAAAGAGGTGGATACTGTACCCCCCAAGTTATATCAAGTTCAAGTTATGGCTGTTAAACATCATTACATGGGATCACTATGACTACTGTAGATGGATGGAACGGGGTAGCCTATGTTCGGACAACCATGTGGTTTCAGTGGTTTCAGGTGGCTTAGCCAGAGATCGCATCCATAAATCAGAGTTTGACCTTGAAGCTCAATTTCCCAGCGTTTTGTTTTCTCGCACAACATTGTGGATCTTTCCACCAAACAAATATGGTGTTCCACCCAAATCACCTTTTTTCTTCACCCCCCAGTTTTTGAAAAGAGTTGCTTTTTGGTCCAAAACCAAGTTTTCTCAGTGCTTTCCAATCGGTCTTCCACATGTTTCCATTTTTTCCCCCATATTTTCCACATTTGTTCCCCTTTTTGCCACTCCCTGCCCGGGCCGCTGCCCCCAGGTACGGCAGCAGCGTGGAGCTGGAACTAGGGCAGCGCGTCTCGGCGCGGCTGGCGGCACAGTTGGCCAAGGAGTTGGACCGGCGGAGCAAGGAAGCGCTGCTGGGGAAAGGCGCTGGGGGATGGATATGGGAGGAACGTGGCTGGCACATCCCCCGTTTTTTTTTAATCGGACAATCAGGAAATATTGACATGATGAGTCATCATCGTGTTGGATCAACAACAACATTTAACATGAGAAGGATTTATGATAACATATGAGTAACCGACAAAATCAGTGGGATGTTCAAAGTTGTGTTAAGACCCTCACAGCCGATAGGGGACCACCCACTTACCGATACCCTATTTTTGGTAAGTATGATTTCCCCGAGGGCTTTAAGGTTATGCTGGGGTGTAAATCATGCGAGGTATGTCCCTGTTCCCTCATCTCCTTGTCCCTTGTACTTGGGCCCTTCCGCCAATGAAACCAACCCTTCCCTTGTCTGAATCCTGTCCCCTGTCTGTCACCCCTATTCCTGTCCCCTCCTGTGTGTCCCACCTGTTGTCGCATTGTGCCCGCGGTATTGCCAAAGAAGAAGGCCTTGAAGCAGGCGACGAAGTGACGCTTAATTTTTTTTCCAGTGCTCAAAAAATGATTTTCCAGTGTCTACCCGTTGCACATAGCATGGAAGTACAAACCTTCACAACCGATAGGGGACCGCCCACTTTGGCCATGTCCATTGCGAGTAGTAAGTAATTTTGTCTGCCAATCGTATCAATAATGTTGATGACATATATGATAATTTATGCCAATCTTTTGCCGGCCTGAAAATCGGAACTGATCCTTGGAACCCTGGCAACCCTGGAACCTGCTTTCAGGTTGCAAAGCTGGGTTTATCTGTATTATGATTTATTATGATATATCAATCATTGCACTGCATTACTACAAAATAGGTCAATATTATAAGCTGATATGAGACGATATGTACCAAGATGTATTGTTGGTGGTGTTGATGTGATGGATCGCGGGGAAATGGGTGAACAAACCCACCATACATTATATAATCCCATTCAATTCCTGCTACGCGCCAATCAATTAGCAGCTTCGAACCAAGTGCATGTTGCATCTAGCTGTAAGATGTAAGTGGTTTCAGGGAAAATATCAGGAACCCCTTATTGGGTGCTATTTTAAAGATGTCGTCCTGTACATTTTTCTTCAATCCGTTGATGTTGTTTTTCCGAAGACGCAGCCGTAGCACTGGCGACAGGCAACGAGGACTACGTCCTGGGGGACTTGACCCGCAAGCAGTTGCAACAAAGCCTGCGCAGCATCACGGGGAAGGCCGGGGTCCGACCTGGGGCCGGGGGATTCCCAAATGGGGATTAAACATTATGGGATAATTTGGATAATTATTGTATCCCACAATGGAAATGATGATTCCCAACATGATTTAAAGGGAATCATTGCATTGTTGTTAGGAAAGATGACCAAATCTACTGTAGAACTGGGATAATTTACTGGATCGCACTGAAACAACTTCATGCCACGGCCTGTCATGTGTGTTTGGAACCATTCGCACGATCGCTATCAGGAGAACTATGAGTTTGGTGATATCAGTCGATCTCTGCTCAGCTGCTCGATGAGGTTCAGTCATGAAACCGGCCATGGTCAAATCAAGGAGCACGCGGAACAGAGCTAATTTGCAGTCCGACAATGGGAACGACTCAGAAACCCATCCTTTGTGCTTTCGGGTTGCGTTGAAACAAGTGCCAGTCTAGAGCAGTTGTTAATTTGCAGATCTTTCTTTTTTTTTGCACGCTTCCAAGGTCGCCTTCAGAAGGGATCTTGATGCCATAGCTATGGCAGCTGAGAGCTCCAGCAAAGTCCCGAGGCCGCCGCATGGGATTCAACGGGCAACACATTCGGGAGCCAACATCACTACGTGCTGTCAGCTTGGAACCCACTCTGACAGTTTCCATTGTTGGTGGTGAAGAGGATGTTGATGCCTGGCAAGCGGCTCTACCACAAGGAAATCGTCCAGGTTGAGTGCAGGGCGCACATCCTCTGTGGATGTGTGGCTGACTTGTGCCTTCGATCAACGGGAACATGGAAAGGCATGCTTTTCGCATGCGGAGAACACTCCAAGTGACCGACGCTGTTCCCATGGATCCATGACTGATTGCTTCCGCAACAACCTGCAACGGGAACTTTATGACCTGACCTGCACAGTGAACTCTTCAGTCCCGGGCATGCACAGCGCGGGGCTGTGGCCAAAAAACAGCGTGTCACACAGAAGGTTGGCCTCCAAAGATTTGTAGGACTGTGCGGCTGCATGCGGATGCAGAGTGTGTTTTGGAGTGACTTTGATCCGGCTGTTTTCCACCTGGAGATACCTTTCAAATAGCCTAAACTAGCCCAAACCACTGCTTGACAATCGAGATTTGAATGAGGTGCTTTGTTAAACATCATAAATGATTTGACAAACTAATCCCTTCCCTTAATATCCCTATTCATCCCTACTAAATATCCCCTAGAACTAGAACCCCCTGCAATGCAGCAGCCAAGGTCAGCCACTGACAGCCAGGAGCGAACCCAGGTGGGGCCCTGGAACCAACACACGGGATTTTGATTTGGGATTTGTCTGGGATTGGCTCAGTTCATGTTAGGCAAGGTGGGATTTCAGGTGGTTTTATGTCCATTTTCTTATTTCTTCGCCTTTGCCCAGCTTATCGGGTGCCGAATACTGGGATGTTTCTTTTTCTTCACAGTCACCCAAGATTGGTGGTCCCCGGAGCCTTTAAACACATGATGGCCCCGCAGCAACTTAAACAACCACCAGCACCCAAGGCGTCAAAGTCAAAGTGCGAGCCCCAGAGTGTGGTTCTTTGGGTCGTTTCAACTTGAAGTGGTGTGAAGTTGCTGTGTTGACAAGTATTAACCAACAAGTTACTTCGCGCAACAATCATTGAATAGGTTTAGGCGATGGGTGATTTGCCCTCTATGTGCTTGATAACAGTTTGCAGTCTTGAAGTTTCTAGAATTTGTCGACTCCTGGCCGTGGTTTCACTTTAGTTGGACCTTCCAGCCCTGCAACTACGGAGGTTATATGATTCTAACTGATGGCTCACCGGCCCCAGCTCGACATTTGCTCATGAGGTCACGAAGGCTTGCAAGAGCCATTTGTGCTGCAGCAGTTATCTGCCCCGCAGTAACTTGCATGCAGTTTCTGTGACGCTTCTGGCAATAGTGATAATAGTGTCAACGCAAAGATGGGTGTGTTTGAACATGGGGTGTACTCGAATAGGGCAATGTTAATGGGGAAAACTATGATAAACCATGATAAACCATCAAATTTGGGGATACCCAATTTTCAGACAAGACCAGGTCACTATTGTGTAGCATGCTTTCTCTGTCCAAAACTTGTGGTGCGCACTTGATTCAGAGCACGCAAGTACGATGTTTGAATTTGAGATGCACAGACACGCAACGCACAATACCAGGAAACTTGAATGAAGAAGCATAGTGCAGTATAGTCAAGCACATGGCACGTCTGTGTCCAAGGTTCAATGAGAAAATTTGTGTTTATTACTTCCAATTATATTTTGGATGATTACATATCCCGAAAGAAAAGGATGGTTTGAAGGCGCCAATCAGAAAGGAGGTATGCCATGATGTGTTTTGATGTTGCAAGGCCAATGCCTCCAGCGGTTTGGACCTCAGCACCCATCGGTAGATCCCATGGTTTGGGGTGGTTCCAGTGTTGGCAACTGAATAAGACTGCCTTCAAGCAATTTAGAGCTTGGAATCCTACTGGATATGATGAAGCTTGTTGGTCAGTGTATGATCCCTACCCTCTTAAAAATGGAATTTGAGGGGGGGGAGTCGTACTGAAATTTCATTTTAAAATTCAATTTTTGCAATCATGCTTTCTCAATGATCAATATTCCTCATCATTCCATGTCATTGGCAAGCAGATGAAAATTAAATACTTGCGCTTAGCTCTGGAGGAGCTAAGCACATGTCAGACTGAAGCAGCACATGTGTAGGGATGGCGTCCCTCCAAAAATTGCGCTGCCGTCATCATACTTGCGCTTAGCTCCTCCGGAGCTAAGCGCAAGTATTTTCTAACCAGTGCCCAAGGCTTGTTAAGAAATGTTACTTTACAACTCCATTTGAGTGGTTGGATCACTATCCCAGGGTTTCCAAGGAAAACAAAAATGGAATTCGACAGGTTGGTTTTGTCCCCCCCGCCCTCCCCCTCTATAGGGGTAGGGATAGTGTATGCAGAGGGAGAGGTTTTCTGGTTGATATGTTCAAACAATCTGTCACTGGTTTACCCCTGCATGGGATCATTCAATCCGGTCATGTTTTGGGGCCGAGTGTGAACCACAGATATCTCACAATCCGAGGAGAGAAGGGGTGGCAGCTGCACAGGCAGCGAGAGGAACTCTATGCTGTCACAGTTGAGAGTGCAGGTTTGTCTATATACCTTTTTTATCCTTTTTTTTGATGACGATCCAAAATGACTCATCTTTGTCAGGGGGGTTGACACCCCGAACCAGAAATGCTTTGGCCTGATGTGGATATTGACCGCCCCTTTACTGAAATTTGATGCCCAACTGGTTGGCTGTTTTTCTTTTTCCACTCACGTTCGGTGTCCTGAGTCGAGATGGGTGGCCTCAAATTGAAATGCACGACCTCGTTTGATTATGCACATGTATTTCAGCATATATATATATATTAACATACATACATACAGTTACATACACATTACACATGCATAGTGTATATATTTACACACATATATATATATATATTAAGCACTATCACTATATATACTATATACGAACACGTATAAAGTCACCCACAAAAAATTGAACAGTGCCATCCTACTAAAATAGTGATGAGTGTTCCCATTGGTTGGAAATCGACTAACGTCCCCAATTTTTCAAGACTGATACCTTCATGTTTTGGTCGTTTTGGGGCTGTTGTTTTGGTCGTTTTGGGGCTGGTGACAATTTACACTATATATACATACACGCGCAAACCCTATGTCTCGCCGTCGCCCGAAACGGCTAAAAACTGCGGGCTTTTGTTGATTTCTCAATCTTCACCTTCGCATTTTTTTCCAAAAACTTGTCCAGCAGGAACACATTCAGGAAACATTTTCATCATCTCACTGGAGGGACTGAAGGCGTGCAGCTTTGAAGGCGTCACTAGGTGACACTCTGACAAGGCCAGCGGCGAGACACAGGGTTTGCGGGTATATATATATATATATTATATATATATATAGATAGGGAAGAGGCTTGAGGTTCCCCGGAGCGCAATTGAAGTGGAGCTGGAGAAAGATTTGGAAATGTCATTTTCACTGCGTTTTACAGTGTTTTGTGGTCTTCATGGAACATGATAACACATTGAACGGCTCCAACACGTGGACAACATACCTGGGTATGTTGTCCGCGGTTTTAACTAGCTTAAAGTTTTTCAAGTTGTTCATTTTACATTGTTTTCGTAGAAACCAGTAGAATTGCGTGCTGATAGAATTTCAGTGTTTTCATGGATCCCATAAAAATGTCATAATTCCCCAGGGCGAAATGCACATCCCCTTTTTTCAACATAGCAACAAGTCCAACGTAAAAAACATCTACAACGTAGCAACATCCTCAACGTAACAACACCTTCAACATAGCAACATCTTCAACATCTTCAACGTAACAGCATCTTCAACATCTTCAACGCAACAACATCTTCAACAAAGCAACATCTTCAATGTAACAACATCTTCGCCGTCACAACATCTTTCCTCTAACGCAGTTCAAAGGACGTTAATACACCTTCCCCCCACCCCTCTTCTGTATGCCACAGCGAAGATCAACGTAACAACATCTTTGCTCTAACGCAGTTCAAAGGGCGCTATAATGCAACCCCCCCACCCCACCGGCCCCCTTCCGTATGCGACAACGAAGATCGACGTAACAACATCTTCGCTCTAACGAAGTTCAAAGGATGTTAATACGAACCCCCCCACCCCCTCTGTACTGTATATTAGAAGATCAGACATGTATTTTTGTATCGCAGGACCCAAGGTTCCTCGATGTTCCGGGGAGCCTCAAGCCTCTCCTCCATACATATAGATACAAATACATACTGTATATATATATATATATGTATATACGCATACACATATTATTTACATACGCATATACATACTGTATATATATATATTTACACATATAATTCATACTCATATAACTTTAAATATTTATATATATATACACATACCTAGAGGTTGCTTCCCCACATATTTTAGCGTTTTGGCCAAGCGTTTTGGAGCCAAGCCAGGAGCCTGACCCCACCACCAGCATCACCGGCTCCAGCTCTTGCCGAGCTGGGCTACCGACCTGGAGCATCCAGGACTGCGCCCATCTGGTTGCTGCAGCAAATATGATGTTTAGTTTTGATATCTTCAGCCGAGGAGTATACATATCTATACACGGTATATATATATATTTATATATATAAATTGATAGATATAGATCCGACTATATATGTATATGTATATGGATATGTAAATACATCTGCATACTTATCCTATCCTATCCTGGATACTATCCTATCCTATTTCCCCGTCAATCTAGTTCCCATCTACCAGTAGTACCGCACAAGGTAGGCGGCGGAAGTTTAAGAGATAGGGCACTATAAGAGATGTGAGTTGTTGTGATGCATGGATGGCAAAGCGAATCCATTGATAAACCGAAAGCTGGTTGGAGTTGTGCTTTTTGGAGTGGTTGCAGTGGTCACCTCAACCACAACTGCTGGATGTAGTGTTGTGTAGAGTGTAATGCAAAGTATTATTTGTAGTTGCAGTTGCAGTTGAAGTTGTAGTTGTATTGTAGTGTAGTTGCAGCTGTAGTTGATGTAGCTGTAGCTGTAGTAGTAGTCGTTGCAGTTGTAGTTGTAGTGTAGTGGTGGTGAAGTGTGGTGAAGCGGAGTGTAGCGTAGTGGAGTTGTAGCTTTAGTTGTAGTTGCAGTTATATTGTAGTGCAGTTGAAGCTGCAGCTGTGGTTGATGTTGTTGTAATTGCAATGCTGTAGTTGTAGCTGTAGCCCTAGTAGTTGTAGTAGTAGTTGTAGCTGTAGCTCTAGTAGTTGTAGTAGTAGTAGTAGTTGTTGGTGGTGTTGTAGTAGTAGTAGTAGTAGTTGTAGTAGTAGTAGTAGTAGTTGTTGTTGTTGTGGTGTAGTTGTTGCAGTGGTAGTGGTAGTGGTAGTGGTAGTTGTAGTGGTAGTGGTAGTAGTGGTGGTGGTGGGTGTAGTAGTGGTGGTGGTGGTGGTAGTAGTAGTAGTAGTAGTAGCAGCAGTAGTAGTAGTAGTAGCAGTAGTAGTAGTAGTGGTGGTGGTGGTGGTGGTGGTGGTAAAAAGTAAAAGTAGGAAGTAGTAGTAGTAGTAGTAGTAGTTGTTGTAGTAGTAGTAGTTGTTGTTGTTGTTGTGGTGTAGTTGTTGCAGTGGTAGTGGTAGTGGTAGTGGTAGTAGTGGTGGTGGTGGGTGTAGTAGTGGTGGTGGTGGGTGTAGTAGTAGTAGTAGTAGTAGTAGTAGTAGTAGTAGTAGTAGTAGTAGTAGTAGTAGTAGTAGTGGTAGTGGTAGTGGTAGTGGTAGTGGTAGTGGTAGTGGTAGTGGTAGTGGTAGTGGTAGTGGTAGTGGTAGTGGTAGTGGGAGTGGGAGTGGGAGTGGGAGTGGGAGTGGGAGTGGGAGTGGGAGTGGGAGTGGGAGTGGGAGTGGGAGTGGGAGTGGGAGTGGGAGTGGGAGTAGGAGTAGGAGTAGGAGTAGGAGTAGGAGCAGTAGCAGCAGGAGTAGTAGTAGTAGTTGTTGTTGTTGTTGTTGTTGTTGCTGTTGTTGTTGTGGTGTAGTTTGGCGCGGTTGAATGCAAAAATGTTTCGAATTTGGTTTGTTTTGCACATTTTGACTTCGAAATGTGCTTCGCGCCACAGCCAGCGGTGTGCACTTTTTCGACATGTCAACTTCCAAAAGTGGTCCGACACTGATGTGTTTTGTACATTTTGACTTGGAAATGTGCATCCCGCCACAACGGCGTGCACTTTTCATCTCCCACCTGGCCAGATGGCTCCGCACCCGCCGCTTTAGCGAGCCTACTTTTCGACTTTTCGGAGCCACAAATCATTCAGAAAAACGCACTGAATTGCGACTTTTCTACCTTTTCGCGCACCTGCATCTTCTTTCTTCGGACTCTTTCTTCTGACTCGTCTTTCTGGCTCTTCCTCTTCTCTGATCTTCTCTTCTCTTCTCTGACTCTTCCCACCTCTGCTTTTCCATCTGTCAATATTGTCGGAAGTTTGACTTCTAAACTTCCTTCGACGACGAACAATAAGCAACCCAAAGAAGTTTTGGTGGTGAGGATCCCTAATGAATTGGTTGATATGCAAAACAGCAAAATACATTGTTGCAAACAAGGAGAACCCCTTGTTGGCTGTAGTGTATGTTGCTCAAAGAGAAGGCTTATTTATTTGTAGGTCCCTTCCTCATAGAGAAACTATGACATGGATATTTTGGGTCCCCGGTTTTCGACCAAGCGTTCAAACCAGTTGATGTTGTGAGTGCATATTGTTGACTGCATTTATTCGGACTGTCCTGCGTTTATTTTGAACTTGCAGCCTCTACAATCGTATCCTTTCAAAGTTCTTGGATGGTTGGGCTTTGTCCAAAAATGGGATACCCAAAAAAAAACTGGTTCGTCAACATTTTTGCTATATTTTTGCTATGCAATGGCAGTTTTTGCGGGCATCCTTAAGGAGCACTTGTGCTTGTAACACCCACATTTCATGGCAAAAACCTGGTTTTTTCCAGGCTCTCCCCAGATGCTGGAGGCCAGTCGTGAAAACGGGGGATATCGTGTTCCGGTTCAACCCCCTGTGCCAGCGAGGTGCAGGTAACAGGCAACTGCTTGGTGGGTTGTCACCTTTGATAGCTGGGTATGACCCAAACATCATTTAAACTATTTTGAAACTAAAAAGAATATGTTATGTTTTGTTGAACGGTTGGTATAATTGCCCTATGTGTTTGGCTGATATATTCAGAATTTCGATATATAGTTTTAGACTGTTAGACCAATATACATTTACTATTAGGGTTTGGCATTCCACTAAAAATTATATACTGCAATCCACGGTTTGCCCAAAATGACAGCGTTGGGCCAAATGGAACAGCGACTGGCAGTCATCCGCCAGGTCGACCTCTACAGGCAGGGGAGTGCTGGAAATGGACATCTACCGTCCATGATTTTCCTATGATTTTCCTTTGAAAACATGGAGATTCCAAGTGCCCTGCCTGATGACCTAGAAAGTATATGAATTGATCTGCGCTTGGTACCGTGTGCATTTAGGTAAATGAACATGGTTGGCTGGAAAACTTCCCCAGAAAATGTCTGTAGATGAATTGTATACCTTATGAACATGGGGAGAGGTATCGCATGATGAGCAGATGGCAGGTGCCTCAATTGCCTCTGCGGCCGGTGCCCGAATTGCCGCGACTTGGCATTCCGGATTAGTGCGTCCTGATTGTGAGGGTGAAAAAAGCACAGTGATAGATGGGATACATCCCAATTGTCGATCCAATTGTGTGTATAGGGGTTGTTCTCCACTTTCCAATTAGGAAGTGGGGAATGCCATGACTTCAAACTCAGAGAAACCAATTTGCAGCTTTGTGGAGGAAGCAGGGTGACAGACCGTTTTTGTGCAATATTCGTGATCTGGTCATGGAGGTGACAATGTGTTGCAAACCAACCATACTAGTTTATGTAGGCATTTGGGCCTAAGTTGCATTTGGGCATTTGGGTATTATATTTTTGCTGCTGTAAGATGCGCCCAAATGTATTATTGTAAAGACCGGCAGAGACTCGTTGGCGTGATGGCCAATTTTTATTCTACGACGCAACGAGTAGATTTCGGATGATTTCGGATGTATTTTATTTAGCAATGAGCTGTTTCCTGTACACGGAAGTTTTTGAATTGCTGGATGGGTCCAGGGCAGGCATCAACACAAGACCAGTCTGTGCAAGCTTTAATGATTCACTTGTGTGAATTGAAGAAATGTGTCGGAACGCTACAATGGGCGGAACCCCAGTCAACTTTATGCCAGAAGATTCCAACTAGAATAGGTTGTATTCACACAAGGGGTTGAGTTGTATTCACACTAGGCTAGGTGGCTATCCAGAACTGTGAGCAATTCCACCCCTTCCCCCGCTTTTGTTTTTTAATTTGTTCCCTTTTCTTCATCCAAAATTGCTTTCCGGGAATGCATCTCTTTCCCCCGCTTCCAGCTTTCCAACCGTTGCCCCGCTTCCAATAAGCACACAGATTCTCCCGTTGCCCTGCTGGCACCTTTCCTCCCATTGCCCTGCTTAAATTATCAACACTTCTGTCAAATGATTCAGCTCACCTCCGCTTGCCCCGCTCTCCTGTTTCCACCCTCTGTCCCGCTTGCCACAGACATACTTCGAAACCACCCACAGCCCCGCTTCTATTTGTGGCAAACAAAAGCAGCTAGGTTTTCCATCAGTTTTTCTGGATTCTGAACGTTTTTTGGATCAGCTGATCCACCTCCCACCTGCTGCCCCGCTTCCACTGTAGCCCCGCTAGTTCGTTCGACCAAAACTGGGAAAAAACCATCAGAAAATGTGGTGCGGTATAGCATCAATCCACAGGGGTTGTTGGTTCCAAATGAGAAGTGCAGAATTTGCTGTGTCTAACCGTTAACCGATGACCTAAGTCAAGTTGTTTTGACATTTGAAGCCACCTACCCGGCAGCTTGCATTCACTCTTCAAAGAAAGGGTGTGGACACGACCTCGTCAATGCCAAAAAAAACCAGATCAGCCTTATCAAAACATTCTTCCCAGTGACGCCATTTAAAAAATAAACCATATCCCGAATACCAAATTATCTTGTGGACCAATTTCGACTTGCTGGCTCGAATTCTTAGTCTACTAGAAAGGAAACCCTAAGGGTTCATTTGGCAGACTGAATTGCAGCTGCCATTGTTGTTTGCGTTAGGTAACTTTACTGATGAGGAACTGCATAACTGCCATTCACATGCAAATTCACTCCCAGCCCCGCTTCTACTGTAGCCCCGCTAGTTCGTTCGACCAACAAACCGCTCAAAGCTGTACTGCCGCTTCGACATCATGAGGTTCATATTGGCTTTCGAACACGCCTACATCTTTTCAATATCCGGACCCACACTCATCAGGATCATCAGGTTGGGGGTCAAACACCTGTAGCCCCAAAGGTTTACGTTTCGAACATGTTGGCAGAAACATCGCCAGGTTGGAGTGTAACAATCCAATCTTCGGGTAATTTTGGCACCTTTGAGGACACCCGTGGAACAGTGGCGTGCACCCATGGAGTCCCAATTTGATGCCAGGGCGCCAAGTGTCTGATCTGGGTAGCCATGCCTCTCTGAGGGGATGAAAGAGCCCAAAGCTTGAGTAGTTGAAGATTTCCGGATTATCCACTGTTGTTCTTGTTTGGAGCGTCTTCACATTTTACACCAGGGTATCAGGGTGTTTCATGTATTTGCAGTCAAGTGCCCAGGTCAAACTCCAGTTAAATGAGGACAATCTATGCTAGCAAAAGAGCGTATGATGTCGTATATGTATGACCTGGTCCCCGACTAATGATTGGCAAATTGGTTCGTCTAAAGTCTAAAAATAGGATACCTCCAAGTTAATGGTCAATCATCATGTTCCTTAATTTGGGGGTACCGGTATACCCTTCAATTTGGTTAGACACATCCTATATCCCATGAAGTACCATTAAAATTGACATATCCCATTGCATCCCGTTGGGCGGGACACCATCTTTGGTTAAATGTCTAACCTTTCTATCATGCTATTCCCATTAAATCCTATAAACATAAACAAAGATATTATATAAAACATCCGTTAAATATTCTATAATATGATATATCCAACCAGGAATAGGATATTGTAGATGATGTCCCATACATGCTCGTATCATCTATCCAGCGGTTATGAGAACAAAAATGAACGGGAGCGCGTCGCGGGCGGAGCTACGAATTGAGTGGGACCCAACCATCTGACAGTTCTATGAGCCATAGAGATAATCATAAACATACCATAAATACTGAGTTACCCAACTATTAGCAGTTATATCATAACTCATAGGACATTATACATGATATCCAAATTACCATCTGGCGTGAGCATCTGCACATTGCCTGGGCAGGTGCCTTCTCGGCCTTTGCCATCTCCGCCCGAGGCGCGTTTGAGCTGGCTGGCTTTGGGCAGAACTCCATGGCGGTACGGAGTGGTACGGGGTTCCATGGATTCAAGGGGAGAACTGGTGGAAGAATATGGAAAAACAATGGAACATATGGGAAACTATAGGAAAAACATGAAGAACTATGGTAAATGATGAGAGATAATTGGAGAAACATGGGAACATATAAGAGGCATATGGGAAACTATGGAAAAAATATAGGGGAAAAAGGGAAGCATGGAGAACTACGGGAAACTTAAGGACAATTATCTGTACTTGAAGGGATTTAACTTTTTCAATTGCCAGATTCGAGTACTGTCCGGTGCACCAACAGCGATGGGATATGCTGGGATTCCTGATGCAATGATGAATATGACCCGTTTGACCCTTCACCGAACTAGTAGATTAAGCAGCAACGTCATGTTGCCAGCGGCTAGGTGTAGCTCCAACTGTATAGCTGTGTGTGAAGTCGATGCTAGATCAAATCTAAATGGGAGAGCGGGACGAGAGAACGGATGCGAGTCTACAGTTAGCTTTTGCAGCACAGGGCTACTGCGCTTTCATCAGATCCAAAAGTCTCCGAGCTGGAAGACTCTGGTAGCTTTTGCTCATACCCAAAATGACAAGGTCCTAGGATGTCCTAGGCGAAATCTGATCGAGATTGGTGGAATTTTTAGCTGCAGCTAATTTATGTTCTGCTTCTTGTGTTCTAACTTTGGGGCTCGGCGTGGCAGGTTGGAAAGCCATTGAAGCACTGGGATATTTCTGCTATGGCAGGTGGGATCACACAGTCATGGGGACAAGAGGTGATCAGGTGATGAAGAAACCATTGAGCTGGTATTGGGCGATTTTTTGCTGGAATCTTTTACAGTAAAGTTTCGCTCCCGACCTTCGGCAGAAGCATGGTCGAGCATTGGCCATGGTGCGGCTAACTGGCGTCTTATGCCTGACTTGGAGAAAGCATGAAGAGCCTCTGGAGAAGAAGCAAATCATATACTTGGAAATTGATCTACTGCCAGGTCTTCCTATGGGGATTTCGAACATTTGCCAGCTTTGATCAATCTGGCCGATTTTCTGGTTTTCGACTAGAAGTATCTGAACATGTAACATATCTGAAATAATTCTAATAAAACACAGGAACATTGAACATAAACGATAAACAGCATGAAGCAATATGACACATCTCTAACGAATCACCAGGTTTTTGCTCCATGATTTTCCAAGCGCCAGGACCAGAGCGCTTACCAAGCCCCAAGACGAGCCAGGCTGGGGACGGCCAATCTATTCAATCTCATCAATTTATAAATCTATTATGGTTTATAGGCATTTAAATAAACCGTATTTCACTGATTTCACCAATCTATTTTTTGGGAGATAACCTTTTGTAAGGTGTTAAAATCGAGAAAATCATCAGCCATACTGAAACTATCAAGTCTTATATATCGAGATATATCCTCAATCCAACATAGCTCTGGAAAATGTATGTTTAGCCAGGTGTTCTGTAGATGATACCCCTTTTTTACCACTTTTTTTGACCGAAAAAGGGGTGTTTTCCATTGCTGCCCTGTTGGATAACCTCGTCGGATCAGCGCTTCCCAAGGTGGATTTGCCGAGACCCACCACGCAGCCTCCGATGGGTACCCTGGGAGGGAGTGGATGCGGATTTCATTACGGGGGTCCCCCAAAAAAGCAATCATATGTCGCTATGCCAATCATATGCTGTAATATGCTACTAACATTGGTAACATGGGACTCCCACTAGAATCATGTAAAATCCTTTGCTGATATTACGCGAACCTAGTGATGAAAGTTTGAAAGCCCCCTATATAATATAGAACTGCCTACTGGAACTAGGATGAACCAGGGATATTCCCTGTCATGTGGAGATACCAAACGATATGGGGGTTTGAAATTGAGAGCTGTTGGGATCTTGGTTTGGCTGGCGGGTGATTGCATCCTGACCAGCTATTTAAGTGCATCCATGGGTGTTCATACTTGACGGGTAGACCAGCATTGATTGTAGATATCCTCATTTTTTGATATTTTTGGGTGAATATCCCCATTCAAATCATTCAAGTTTTAGATGCATATCTCCATGACAAGTTGGGTATCCTCTGGTAATCAGACATGGCTTTGAATGGGGAAACCATGTTACATCCCCTCTGGTAAACTAACATAGCTATGGAGAATCATCATCTTCAATAGGTAAATCAACTATAAATGTGCCATGTTCTATAACTATGTTAAATTACCAGAGGGTACATGATTATACATTCCCTTATTTGGGTCGCCCTGTCCATCTCCATCAACGAAGCGCAGGTGATCTTCGTCCAACGGATGGCCGCGGTGGTTCCCGAAGCATTGCTCCAGTTGGGGTTGAGGCGAGGGGCACGGGGGTTTACTGCATTGTACATGGGCACGGCTGCCAGCTGTGTAGCTGAGGTTCTGACTGTACAATCCATTCTGGTGAAATTTTGTGGAATTTCCGTATGAAACCTCAACATGGATCCGGGATGATCCGGGACTAAACTTACTAAACTTTACTAAACCAGGCTTGCCGATTCGAGTTGATTGGACTTAGAATCCCATTAACAAGTAGTTGGCTGGGCGGGCGTAGAAGGCCGCGTGACGAAACACTGCTTTTGCGTTTTCATGTGTCTGGCATCACAGCGGGAGTGCAGTTTTTGTAATTTTTGAGAATTTCGACTCCACGAAACGCAGTTTTTCGTATTTTTTTAGTGTTTTTTTTTTGCTTAGGGGGGTTGGGGTGGGGCGGGGGCAATAACGTTCCTTGGCACGCGCATACATGTTGCAATGTTAGACGCGTAGGGGGGTTGGGGTGGGGGCGGCAATAACGTTCCTTGGCACGCGCATACATGTTGCAATGTTAGACGTGTGGGGGGGTTGGGGTTGGGGGTGCAATAACGTTCCTTGGCACGCGCGTACATGTTGCAATGTTAGACGTGTGGGGGGGTTGGGGTTGGGGGTGCAATAACGTTCCTTGGCACGCGCGTACATGTTGCAATGTTAGACGTGTGGGGGGGTTGGGGTTGGGGGTGCAATAACGTTCCTTGGCACGCCCGTACATGTTGCAATGTTAGACATGTGGGGGGGTTGGGGAAAAAATGTAAAACAAGTTGATTCAGTGAAGTTTTCTAAACTAATATCATAGCAGTATAACAAATCAAAATTTATTCATTAAAAAACATAACAGTCCAAAAAGCCAGTTTATATATTGTTAATTGCTTCATTTTTCTCAACAATATCAAAACATAATATTCAATTTTTAAAAATCATAGCAGTCAAAGCATACTTACCTCATGATGTTTTATTGTGAGAGAGGGAGTGCCATTTGGTTTAAAAAGTATAGGAAACATCATAACAGAAGAAAAAGAAGAATTACTATCTTTGATTTATGAAGAAGTAGAAGAAGATAATTTAAATTTTAGAGTTAAACTTGATATTGAAGTCCAAATAGTAGCAAAACTCCCAGATAAAGAATATGGAGACAATGAATTTAATTATAGAGAAATTTACTTCATGCATGACTTTGATGAATATGTAGATGAAGATAATATAGAAGATGTATTGAATAAAGCAGATGAAGAAATAAATACCGACATAGAAGAAGACCAAGATAAAGATAGTATAATAGGAATACAAGCATTTCATTTTGAATTGATAATGATTGAAGATATTTACTACTAACATATTTCTAATAATATTTATTTATTAGAATTATGGATTTGTAAGATAGGGTTATTAAAGGGTGGGGAATAATGTTTATTGTTGTCTATTGGTTTGTTTGTTTTTCTGTTGTTCTTCGCTTGGTTTGTTTTTGTTTTTGGTTGTTATAGGAATTCTTGGAAAAGACATTTAAGAAGATAATCATATTTATATGTAATGGATAAATTTTGTAGATACTGTGTTAAAGATTTACCAATTGATAATTTTGAAGATGGATTGAAGACTTGTAAGACATGCTTGGAATACAAGAGAAAGAACTATGACAAACATAAAGATAAAGTGAATGAAACACGAAGAACTAAATATAAAGAAGATGAAGAATATAGAAAAAAGAAACAGGAACAAATACAAAACTATCGTGATGAAGTTGCCTTTTGTAATGTATGTAATTCATCAATGAAGGCACAATGTTATTCAAGACATTTAAAAACAGAGAAGCATAAAAGGAATTTAGGAACGGTTGATGGATAGGATTTTGTAAAATGAAAAAGGTAATAATGCTTTTGACTGCTATGAATTTGAAAAAATGAATGAGGTAAGTATGCTTTGACTGCTATGGTTTTGAAAAATTGACTGAGGTAAGTATGCTTTGACTGCTATGATTTTGAAAAAATGAATGAGGTAAGTATGCTTTGACTGCTATGATTTTTAAAAATTGAATGAGGTAATTATTTTTTGATATTGTTGAGAAAAATGAAGCAATTAACAATATATAAACTGGCTTTTTGGACTGTTATGTTTTTTTTAATGAATAAATTTTGATTTGTTATACTGCTATGATATTAGTTTAGAAAACTTCACTGAATCAACTTTTTTTACATTTTTTTTTGGTGGGGGGGCAAAAAAGTTCCTTGGCACGCGCATATATACATGTTGCAATGTTAGACGTGTGGGGGGGTGGGGGTGGGGGGGAAATAATGTTCCTTGGCACGCGCATACATGTTGCAATGTTAGACGTGTGGGGGGGTTGGGGTGGGGAGGCAATAACGTTCCTTGGCACGCGCATACATGTTGCAATGTCAGACGTGTGGGGGGTTGGGGTGGAGGGGGCAATAACGTTCCTTGGCACGCGTAGTACTTGTAGCACGTACTTGATGCTACGCTCTGAACTTTCTCAAGTAACTTGTAGCACGTACTTGATGTTACGCTCTGAACTTTCTCAAGTAACTTCTAGCACAGACTTGATTTTACGCTCTCAACTTTCTCAAGTAACTTCTAGCACGTACTTGATGTTACGCTCTGAACTTTCTCAAGTATCTTCTAGCACGTACTTGATGCTACGCTCTGACCAAGAAAACACCTTACAATGTCTCCACAGAAGTAATTAATTTTTTCGGAGCCCAAAAAAGGGAATGCAAAGATGATGAAGTGCAGCGTGTTCATTTTGAATGGCCTGCGTGGTGATTTCACCCTTTACCATTGATAAAAGTGCATCAAAGTTGAAATAATGATGCACGAAACCATACGGCCATCTATCACCGCCGGACCAAGTAGTTTGTAAGGGTTCGTGATGAAGGACCGACCGCCGACCACCCAATGCAGTCTCAAAACTTTGGGCCTGATGGTTGAAATGTGAGGCAGAACTAGTGGACCAGCTGCTCCACCGTTTCGTTCTTGAGCACAAGGCGCAATTCGCTGGCAGACCTGCAAGTGTTTGAAATGTTTCAACGAAATTCGATGCTGCTGGCTGCAGCAGTTTTGTTGGAAGCTCTTTTACGGTGGCATGTGGTGGCTGGTTGCAATCTTTGAAAGCAACCATAGGCAATGGTGGGTCAGAACCCCCAAAATGGATCAACCTTCAGCATCCCGAGGCCCCTACGTTTGGGCAGCCCAGCACATTTGCTGAGCTGTGTGGCAGGGAGACAATGGCTGAGGTAACGCAGTACTAGTCATGGCAACTAGCCACTTACCCAGTGGCCCGAGTGGGGTTGTGTGAAAATAGATGAAAATAGGGTACTGTATCCCCAAATTCATTGGTTTAGAATTTAGATTCTCATTTTTTCCGATAAGATGGCCATAAATCAGGGGTTAACTCTCCCATTTTCAGGTAGCACACACAGTTATCATCTCGTTCGGTTATATCCCATTATATACCCCCATGAATATCTCATGAAATCCCAATTTTCTATGGTTAAACTATGGTTAAACTTAGTTATCCCACGACATATTCCCAGAACCATGAGTTACAAGGTCAAGCTGGCGCCAAGCTCGTCCCGCAGCGCGTCTCCAGGCTCCAAAGACGAGAAAGGGCCGCCTACAAGGAGCATTTTTCGAGGTGAATGAAATACAATGGGGAGATACTGAGATAATCACCATATACAGTATAATATATATATATATATATTCATAATTGTATACACACAGTGTGTGTATATATATAAGGATGATAGGGGAATTGGAACATGATGACTGGTTGGTAGTATGAACTGGAAATGGGGGTATCAACGATTCAAAAACGGGGAATACAAACTAGCAATAATGGGATCTTAATCTTTTTTTGCAGCCTGATACTCTGAGTGCCGCACGCGAAACTCAGCAAGGCAACGAAAGCACAATTAATCAGCGAAAGCAGGAAATGATCTGAGGACAGAGAAGGGAATATCAATGGACCGACAGGACACACCAGGACCTCTACCAGAGGGAGACCCACCAGAATAGCCAATTTGAGCAGAAGAATGAACACTCAGGAAAGTGACTTTGTGAATAGAGACGGGTTTGAACAACCCAACAAAACCACTCATCCTCCCAAAATGGAGGTCGCGGAGATTCATGCAATGATGATATGAAGTGAATTTTCCTTTGCAGAAACGGCGAAAACGGGTCTTGAATTGATTCAAAAAATGTTGAAGTTTCTTGCCGTCAACCCACTCGGGTAAATCAGGATAACAACCCACAAAGTCAAAAAACACCAAGACCCATGGAACTTTGGGCCCTTGCTGATTGACCAGAAACTCTACACAGACATCCTGGGTGTACCTAGACAAAGCCTGGAAGTACTCACCAGAATAATTCTGCAACCTAGACCTAGCATTCCGCTGGTCCAGCTGAGGAAAGACATGGGGTTGAACAATGACAGAGGTGAAAGAATCCCGAAAAGTTTGATAAACGTCCCAGAGTCTGTCGAAGTCATTCGGGCGAACGGTCCCGTTTTCACATTTGGTCAAGAATTCACTGTTACACTGCTCAGGAAAAAGGTGTGAAGGGGTTGGATCACTCGGAGGTTGGTCTGACGGGCACAAAAATTGGCACGCACATCGTTCGCCCAGCGTGGCAATGATATGGCATTGCCATGACACAGCCACTGTGATCAACTTACGGTAAGGTTCGAGCTTGGCTCTAAACGCATCTCTAGCTACAGCCCTAGCGGCTGCATCCACCATGCTATTTCCATACGTAAGATATGGATCCTGACTAGACTTTGCCGTACAATGGGCCTTTACTTTTGACGCCCAAGTTGATGGTTTCAATAACGCCCAAGTTGATGGTTTCAACGATTCTGTTTATTCTCAACCATATTTGGGGATTATGATCCCAGCTGACATGCATATTCTTCAGGGGCGTGATGTGCAGGTGATGACTCCTCTTGTCGTATGAAAATCCTGTTGATGTTCATGAAATGCTGCTGGAAGCATCTCGTACACAATGATTCTTGTCGTATCGGTTTCAGAGAGATTCTGCAGGAGTCCTCCTATATCCTCCTATTTTTCAGCGTAAAAACCACGACTTTCTGTAGTTTTACGCCGAAACCAATCCGCAAAAATTCGGGCCTCAGCTTCCTCCTTTCCTCTAGGAGATGTTGGAGCAAGTCGGGATGCTCTGGGCAGGTTGCACTGGATATGGCATAACTGAGACCACTCAAAATCAAAATCACACATGTTGCAAGAGAAGTCGGCAATAGAACTACAGTAAGACATACTAAAGTCACTAAAGTCATCTCACCCAGTTCTCAGCATTTCTATCGTGGTTCCTGGATGACTAATCCACTTCCCCTTTGGGGTTGGGCAAAACAACTCAGGTTTCATGGACTGCTCTGGAGCCCAAAGCCGCCAATGATGCGGTGGGGACCTTGCAGCCATGCGAATGGGATATATCGGATATGTGTTGGGAGATCCAACGTATTTTTTAGTCACACTCTGGGGGTGTACCATGACACAAACCCAGCTTAGATTTGCAGGTTCGAACTTGAAGACATGGGCATAGCGGCATAGGCATAGGTCTCAACTTTCAACCACCACAGAATGTTGTCATGATTATCATCATTGTTAGTAAAGGATCATTCACGTGGTAAACCCAATTATGAACCATACCCAATATTACCAGATAAAGATTAGGTTTACCACAGCAATTACGTTACTACACACAAATCTGGACATTTGCCCAGTACCCCGACCAGCCCAACATGGGCTTCTGTTTTAGGAGGTGGCTGATTCAAATTTATACAACCCCTCTTATCGATTGATATCAGAGGTGGCTGATGAAAAGCCACTATACTGTACACTGTACTTGTTGAAGGCTCAAGAGATCATCCTGGTCAAAGAACCGCTGGGTCTGCGGAGGGAATTTTGATATGGTTTCTGCAGGTGCTGCTCATACAGTGCTTCTCCGAAGTGATGGCTGCGCAGTTGCTTTCGGATGGAATCATGATGGATCATGCAGCATTCCACCTTTGGATGAAAATTTGACATACACCCAGGTTTCTGCAGGTGGTTGTCATACAGTACTTCTCCGAAGTGATGGCTTTGCAGTTGCCTGCGGACTTAATAATTGCCGACAATTGAACATTCCACCTTTGGATCCGGGTGTTACATACACCCAGGTTTCTGCAGGTGATCAGCATACAGTGCTTCTCCGAAGTGATGGCCGTGCAGTTGCCTGTGGATGGAATGATGGAGAATACAACATTCCACCTTTGGGTGACGGTGTGACGTACACCCAGGTTTCTGCGGGCTATGTTCATACAGTGTTTCTCCGGAGTGATGGCTGTGCAGCTGCTTGTGGACGGAATGATTACGGACTACGCAACATTCCACCTTTGGATGAGGGTGTGAGGTACACCCAGGTTTCTGCAGGTGATCAGCATACAGTGCTTCTCCGAAGTGATGGCAACGCGGTTGCTTGCGGACTAAATGAACATGGACAATGTGACATTCCACCTTTGGATGAGGGTCTGATGTACACCCGGGTATCTGCAGGTGCTGCTCATACAGTGCTTGTCCGAAGTGATGGCAGCGCAGTTGCTTGTGGATGGAATGAATGTGGAGGATGCAACATTCCACGTTTGGATGAGGGTGTGACGTACACCCAGGTTTCTGCAGGTTTTGCCCATACAGTTCTCCTCCGAAGTGATGGCTTTGCAGTTGCTTGTGGCCCGAATGATTACGGACAATGTGCCATTCCGTCTTTGAAGTCATGGAGTCAGTGGTTGCGTTTTAGGCCTCCAAGCCTTCGTTACATATCCAATTTGAACCCACTTGGGAAAAAACCAGAGCGGGTTTTGCAACTTTGCTTTCATCGTGAAGCTGATGCCATCCTTCTCATATGTTTGGGCTTGGATGGGCTCGAAGTGCTGCGCTTAAGGACCAGTGGAGCTGACCTTGCAATGGAAATTTCCAGGCAACTTGCGATGAAGGCTGATAGGCAACAGCTTCGCGTTGTCTTGCCCGATGGGCAGTTGTTAGAGGCAGTGTGCACTGCAGATCCATCTGTCACACTTGGGACTCTCTGTTTGAAGCATGAGAAGGCATAAAGAAACAAGAACATCACTTGTTCAAGCGGGCAGGTGGCTGATTTATCCTAATCTATCACCCTCTAGGGCGGACTCTAGGGCAGTGGCGGATTAAAATCTATTGTCTATCCATGTCTATCCCTTGTGGGGGCGGCGGATTTGACTACACTTACCAGTTGTTCAAGGGGGTGGCCGATCAACAGTCATCGAAAGATATTAAAACGACGTACAAAAACAGGTTGGTAAATGCCTTGTTGATCCTTATTGCATATTAGGCGAAGGTTTGGTTCTGTGGACATTATCATCATTTTGATCAGTGTTGTCATTCTGATCATGTTTTTTTGTTATCACTATCATCATGATTGTCAGCATCATCCTCATGGCTCATGGTCATCGTCGCCATTGTCGTCACCGTTGTCATCTCATCAGCGCTATCCTATATCATCCATTATGATTACTATTGTTTCTTCCCAACATGACCTCCGACTTGTGTATTTGTCGTAACCCGGTTCTTTTTCCAATTCCAGCAACCCGAAGCCTGGTTGGGATATAGTGTTCTTCAACCAAGGCTTTACTGCTTGGTAAACATTTCCTCGCGCCCGTCAGCGCGAATGAGGCAGGGCAGATTGGGGGGAAATATTTGCTACATTTTAGAACATGCATGAAAATGCATTTTTATTGCCATTCAGATATGTGAAAATCCCGCATAATTATTGCATATTGTTGCCTTTGGAACATTCAAAAAACAATTTGAGGATCAATTCCACCACGACCCCCTCCAAAATGATGACTGCAAGATTCCATACAAAGACAAGAGACAAATAAAGACCAGGTGCTGCAATATCTTGAAATGACAGTACACATGCTACACCCTGCAGCACCAGGAGTTAAAACCTGCAGCCCCAGGCCCTGGATTGGACTCCCCCTTGGCAAGGCACTCCGTGCCTTCCGTCGCTGTTTGCACAGCATTCTTTGCGACGAAAGGGTCTTGGACATCGTCGGAGCCTCAGTTGAGGCGGTCGGCGGTCTGCTGCGTTTCTTGGGATTTTTATAGTTTTTTGGTCTGCCAAAGGGTGGTCACCGGGTGGTCAAGATGATGGATCCCCAAGAGCAAGTGAACGAAAGTGAATGTAAGCGAACGTCAGTGAACGAAAGGGAACGTGTTTGTCATCCTTATACTATATGAATATCTATATGATTTATCCAAGTTCTTCGGCCCCCGATTTTGCCCCATTCTGATGCTGTTGAGAAAGTGAGGGCCCGAAACTCCAGAGACCTTCTGGAAATCAGTCAGTTGGCCAAGGCTGTGGTCCCATGTGGTCCCTTTTGCTACCATAAAATGTCAATTGTTTGATGTTTTTGTCTCCGCTCCTGAACCCCTTAGATTTTATTACAGCAGTGATTTTGGACAGATTCCAAGTCAAGTCTCAGGTGGAGCATCAGATGACCTTGCACTTTAGTCGTCTGAAGCCGAAAAATGCCAGCGAGACTTGATGGTGGAGAACTGACACCTGTGGAGATCCTACCCATGATCTTAAGATAGGATCCATGGATATCCATGGTTAGTTGGGTCATACCCCCACATCCTTCAGTAATCAAACATGGCACTGGGAAATCCTCATAGATGGAGGGTTTTAAGAGGCAAATCATCGATCAATGGAGGATTTTCCAATGGCCGGAGGGTAAGTGAGAGATTTCCTCACTGTTTCTGGGATCGTCCAAGTACCATTGAATCACCCACGAGGAGATGGTTTTGATCTCCAGAGGCAAGCCATAGTCTGCCAGAGTCAGCTTCCGTGCGCTCGGGGATTGAGCCAATTCGCGAAGCAAAAAGAGATGCGCAAGTGATGGTTTAAGTTTGACATAGTCTGACCTCTGTTGGTGAGAGCTACAACAAGTTGACTTTTGAATCATGGGGGATCATGGAAGAAAAAAAACAATGGTTTGGGTGCAGGGCGTTTGACCTCTGACCCACGGGGTGGGCTTGATCTGACTTTTGAACTAGCAATTTCAGGATCGGGGCATGGGTGAAAATAGGTTACCCCTTCAAATTGGACACCCCGTGTCCATCCATCTCCAAAGATTGTATAGTGGTGAACATGACCACTCCATTTTGTTTGTCTGAAAATAGGGTACCCCAAAGCCCATGGTTGTCACAATTTTTCCCATGTAGCAATTTTTGGGTGTCTCGTGTACCAAATTTTCAGACAAGCCCAGATATCCTATTGATGCTTTATATTATGCTATATTATCCCATCCCAGTAAACATCCCCATGCTAGTTGGTTATAACTGGGCCTTTAAACTTCAATTTTACCAATTTCTGGTAAATAGAACCATTATAATCATAACTTAACATATCATAACCCCCTTCAGAGTTACCATAAATTGATATAATACCACCATGTTCGTGGCTCGTCTCGGCCTTTTTGGATCTGGGTCTCCAGCCCCTTGCGACATCCCTCAGCTGATCCCCAGGGCAGTCCTCGCGATGCAGCCAATGCTTTGGACGCCCTGGGGCGCCTGAGTCCGGCGACCCGGTCGTATGGCATTTGTGGCGTATACCCCAGCAACGTATGGGTTAGCACGAGCTAATTGGGATGCACCCCCGTGTGTAAATGGTTAAAAATTAAGGTGCCGGTCCGTAAGAATTGGCCCACGTTTTGTATTAGTATTAGACCATCCATTCTAGTGGTTGAGAATGTTGAGATTTACCCATCCAACTGGCTGAAGTCAAGGGAAAATCATTGCTTGTAAAGCCACGGAAAAGTGAAGCATGAAAGTTTCGACATTTTCCAGATTTCCATGTTTTATGTTACAAGTCTTTAGTTAGCAGAGTTAGCACCACTAGTGCTTTAAATTGTGGAGACGCCCTCAAATTGTTATTCATTCCAGTGGGAAAGCGCACCAGCCAAGAGCAGGTGAAACTTGTCCCCAAACTGAGGATGCTTTCAGATCCTCAAAATGACCGACCAGCCTTTTGTAGGTCCATTGGAGTCCATTGAACAATGTCGGGCATCGCCTTCCGCTTCCGAAAGGTGTAGAGAACGACGAACTTTTCGAGGCCTTTGCGGAGTGCGCAGCAGAATGTCCAGGTGGAAGCAGTCCCAGTTCTATTGAAATCTATTGGGCTTCAGCTTAGAGTTGCAATAGTTTGACTGTCAATGAAGATGTGCCAGTCTACTGCAGCAAGACTTCCACAGAGAGATTGTGCAATTGTTCTCTTTTTTTTCCCCAAATCATTCGCTCAATTTTTGGGTGAGTAGGCATACCAATGGCCATTCCATGCTATTCCCTTCATGCAGGGACCAGATTCACATATTTCTCAATAAAATGCACTGAACATTTGCCAAATCTCGAGGTATTTGCCAAATCACTTGGACCAGTTTGGTCCCAAAGATGTGGTTGGCGCTTGCACCGCTCTTGGACGTCTCAAGGCAGGGAAGTCCTGGGCTAGTGCACCTTTGTCACGTTAAGAACTAGTTGTCAATATACATAATATTAAAATAGATTAAAACATTATAAATCAACTTCCAGTTTTTTTGACAGATCTTTCAACGAATTTGGCATGACACTTGCGAACATGGACTCGTGAAGAGATGCTGCAAGCCGGCGACATTTGCTCACTCGGTCGGCCAGCTGCGTTTCCGAAAAAATGCTCTTATCGATCCCATTATAGGAATAAATAAATGGTATTTTAATTAATACACTATGATACAATCTTGATAGATATAATATGATACAATGATATATACTGTACTAGGATTATGATCAAATAAAAAACATTAAAAAACATGAGTATCTAGTAGTGATAACATTATCTACAAATCTACACATACCTGCACAATGTCATATGATTTAATATGATTTAATATGATTTAATATGATTTAATAATCACTTGGCTATTATCATGGGATCATGTGATCCATAAGTGACCAACCCCACGTCAAATCGCTTTGCAGTCTAGGAGCGCGATGAAGCCTCCCTGTTGGCCATCGCTGGGCAGGGCCACACAGGGTTGGTCAATGTTGGTCATCCCTGTGGGGCTGTGGGGCTGTGACCTCCAATGATTTCTCAGGGGAAAATCACTAAAATTGGGGATGTAAAGGGATAAAAACCATTAAAAACCTCTGTCCAGTTGTCAAAGCCATTCAAAACCTCTTGTCATCATTGATTTTAGTAGCATTTTTTTTTTCTGAGTAGTTGAATGAACCGGGACCATGGCGGAGCATCTGAGGTTGGTGTCCATGGACATCCGACATTATTCCGTGCGTGTCCTGGTCGAAAAGTGGTCTACTGTAGCCCCTCGGTGGATTCATCCACCATCACTCCTCCGGAAATGGTATATAGAAACATCCATATATTTCATATATATATATATATTATATAAATTTATATAAACATCTATAGATATTATGGATATTTATGGATTATATTAACATTATATATAATGGTTTGTATAAACATATTCATATAAACTGTCATGGAGTCATGGATTATTCTTAAAATTGGGTCTACCGATCTTTCGAGAACTTACCGAGATGATCGGTGGGAACATAACCAGGTCAGCTAGCAGAGATCTTGACGGCCTTCGCACGTTTGCGAGTTCGAGAGGCGATTGAATCTGTTGCGCAAGCGAGTTCCCAACATTGGTTGCTACAAGCCATGATAAATATAGCCACAAGATGCCACAAGGGTGAACAAAATGTTTGGATAGTTCCTCCCCTTTTATCTGGGTGTTGGGAGTAACCCTGCAACTAGTGGAGGAAGCACTGCCAACAATCATCGACTCAGATGATCTCTAAAACCATCAAAGATGGGACATGTACCAACTTACTCCTGTGCACCTGTTTTTTGAGTGGATCCAGTACAGCTCGACTTCTGTCTCTATTGCCGGTTTCCATTTGACTTGTTTGAATCTTGGATTCCACAGACGTTCAAACTGCTCTTCGTACAGCTGCTTTTCAACTCCAAATGACGCGAACTCGCAATCAACAAGCATCCCTTCGCTGACTCGTTGGCGTGAGCACTAGTCATAATTTCGCGGAAGATACACCAACAGAATTCATTACATGTGTATATAATAATATATATATATATATATGTATGTAGACTATTTGGGTTATATAATTTGTTTGCAACTGGTTTATCACGCAGCAATAGCCATGGATCAAAGCCTCCCAATCAAAATAGCTAGCAAACAGATCTTCATCCGTCCATTATGGAAAATCATAGGTTTTGACTCCATACCCATGATATCATGCCCCTAGAGCAGCACATTTCTTTCACAATTCGACTAGTGAGAGAAATAGGGTTTGGTGCGCTCGGCACGTTCGCACTAGTCATGGCGCCCCTTGACTGGGACAAGGCAGTGCTAGCTTCGGAGTGATAAACCCTGATGAAGAAAGAGGGTTAGCGGTTAGCCATGGTTAGCCCCAGACAAAGCAGCGTTTTGTAGATCCAGAACTGGTGGATTTTTGATTTAGCAGGCTGGAGACTGAAAACTAGAGTTCGGAGCTCCAGCTGTTCGTTGCGAAGCTTCTCTGAAGATTTTCAAGCACACCCAGCAACTCATGTGGCTATGTGTCAAAAGATGTCAAAAGTATCAACACTCAATGGATTGGTGAAAGGGCAGGTTTTAGTATGGGTTTTACTAGCACTTTTTTTGGGGGGTTTCGGAGTTTCCTGTGGATGTTCCCCCCAATCCAATGAACCCAAATTGCTTGGTCCCAGGCCGGTGAGGTCCTAGATCCTGCAGATTTTGCCGGGGAGGACCTGTCAGCAGAACAGGCGGGACCACGCTCTGTTGATGCGGGTTTCTCTGAAAACAATATAGGGGAAACGATGAAACGATGGGAAAGGGTGAAATTCTGATGGCTTCACATCACTTTGGCAGGAACTTCTCAAGAATTGGATGTGAAAAAGCAGCTTCCTTCAACATTGGACAGAATCTATCCATTGCGACTGTAGAATTTTCAGAGACTGAGCGAGCTAAATTCTAGAGGCATTGGATGGCTACCCCAGCCGCAGCACTGTAAAGTCTCGACACAGCCAATTGCAATGGTGGATACTGATGGTCTGCAAAACCAAATCATCCAGACTTGGCTTTTTTAGCATGATACTTCACTGGCTCCCACGCGACCATTACAGAATTCACATGAAGTCACCGTGTGCTGAGGTGCTAGATATGGCTTTGAGCAAGATGGACCCCAAGAAGAAGCAGGGCTACATTGACCAATTGAAGAAATCTACGACTTGCTCAGCTCCTGTTCCAGCTCCTGTGGCGACCCGGACCACGACGGAAGTGGCAAAGGTGGAACAAGAAATCTTGTTGCACAAACTTGAAAGTTGCTCAAAGATGTGCACACCTATGACGTGTGTCATTGCGACCTATAGCATCCTATTGCCACTTATTTTTGGGCTTATTGGCGAAAGGATACCGCCATATCGAGTCATACACTGATTTAATCCCAGTTACAGGGTCATACTTCGGGTCATTCTCCCCCAAAATTTGCCACACTTGCCACAGTGGCAACTCCAGTTGTAGGGGTTAGTGGTAGATGGTCTGGCCGCGCTTGCAGTCTGAAGATGAACTTCTGGCGAAGATCAAGGCTGAAGGGCGCAAGGCTGGGATCGAAGTGATCAAAAGCTCAGAGAAATCAGATGCCCCAAAGTCCAGTTATTGTAATTTGACTGATTCTAATAGGGGAAATGATGATACACCAGGGCCACCAGGGGATTTGTTTTCAGGCGTTCCCAACATTCAGACAAACCCAGATGCAGATGGCTACTTGACCAATAAGATGGGGATTTAGGCACCAATACAACCTGGAGATCCACAAAACAAAGATGAAACCACAAAGACATGAGGAGTGGTGCCTGGGGATATCGAACCCAACTGAAATTTGCATGTCGATATATGGCGATATGAATCGACAACGAGGCGCATCCTACGATGATCTATTCTCTTGCTGTTCTCGACTGTTCAACCAGGATACCAGGATGAAATATGATAAAACCATCCACCGAATTAAAGACTTTCACAACTTTAACATGGCTGAGATGCACAGGCCACCGCCGAGGAAATTGAGGCTGGGCGCCGCTGGGAATTGGGGCGGTCCAAAATGGTTGGGATCCACAACCATCAGATTCTGGGCAGTCACCCTGCGGACCTGGGGACCTAAGAGCTGCTTCGAAGGGGCAGATAGAGATTTCATCGGGACGATTTGCCAGGCCACTGGGAAATCACCTGTCTTTTTGGGGAAATTCATCTTTGGAATGGTGGACCTTCCTCTGCCACGTTTGATTAGAGGGTGCATTCAAGCTAAATAGCGTTGACTCACTCACCCCATCTCTCTGTCTCTACAAATACCCCACCTGAGATCAATTATATTCCATAGATCTTTATGATCTATCTGCCCATCATGGTATTGGGGTTTGTCTGAAAATGATTGGATGCCCCCCAAATTTCATGGTTTTGATATGTTTAAGTTTAACTCATTTTAAATCATCATTTTCACCATATTTCCCTTAGAAACACTGGCCATTAGTCGCCATGCAGTAGGAACTTCTAGCACGACGTCGTCAGCGTTGGCGAGACACGGCCCCCGGGTCGCGGCTTTCGCGCCCGGTCTGCGCTGGCTGCAAAGGCGAAGGACCACGTCCGTATCAGCCACCTGGTGAACACTGGGCCAAAGGCTTGGGGGGATTGAAATGTGGATCATCCTCTGTGGACTTTGAAGATCCAATGATTCCAATATGTTCCAATGCTCAATATTTTTGGGTGTTCTACGTGCCAATTGTGATTTTTTTTCATGACGGGAGATCCAGTTGCCGATGTCCCAAAGTTGGGGGATTGATCCCCCTGAGGTGTGGCAGTTGCAAGTCGGTGCGCTACTGCTCCCCCGAGTGCCAGAAGGGTCACTGGAAGGCGCACAAGAAGAAGTGCCGAAAAAGACTTTCCGAAACTCGGCTTGCTGGGAATCAGCTGGTTGTAGCTACATGTAGCTACTGACTTTGTCTTTGTTGGAAAAAAGGGATACTGTTTCACTGCGGCCTTTGGTATAGTTTATAGTTTCGAGATTTGTTGGGTTGAATTCTAGGGGTGCAGTACAGGGGTTTAATGGGATGCAGAGTCTGATTTCAGGGATGGACAGGTTCTCATCATGCCACCAACTAGATACTGACAGCTTATTTTGAATTTTGATCAGAAAGATAGGATTATTCGACATATATATATAAGATGGAAGAAGTCCTGCACCAGTTGATAGGTGATTCATAGGGTTTCAACATGTTTCAACATGTTTCAACATGTTTCAACCATCCAAGGTGCAGGATTTCTTCCATCCACTGTATGTTTCAAGACGGTGCTTTTTGTCAATGCCCTTTTCAGTAGCCATCCTGCCGGTGGGTATGCAAGAGCTTAAGAGAAGCGCACAGTACGGTTGGACCTGTGTCACCAGCAAAATAGGATAAAATAGGCATAGTCTAGGTGTCACCAGTTGATTCTCCAGCACCAAAAATGATTTTGGGATATTTTGGGGGTTTTGTGCACTGAGATTGTGAGATCCAAGAAATAGAGGATCCCACCGGGAGTGCAGGGCCAATCGAGTACCCCAAAATTTGATGGTTGATTAAGTTCATGATAATTTTCAATGGCAACACATCGGGTATACCATGGCAGCACGCCTAGGTCCAGATCTGTGTGCTGTCGGATTTTGCCTGACCCCACGGCTGGATACAGCATCGCTGGCTCCAACGAGCCATGGAATCTCGGTTTCCAACTTTTCGATTTGCCATAACTTGGGGATAGATTTGGGTAGATCCCAAAAAGCCAGACCCAGAAAAGGTTCCCTTGGTAAAAGGGAATCGGTTCTTGAGCTTGAACCTGAACATGTCTTTGTAAATATATATATATATAATATTAATTATTCATTTTAGTGCGGTGTCCTTCCATTTGATGGGGCCTGTCTTCCCAACAACTTGCTGATGGCGACTCTGTCATTTGTCAGCGGAGTCACCCCTCCAGTGACCTCACTAAGTTCGCCCGTAACAAAATTTTGTCCCAGGGATGATCAGGGTTGTTTACGGTTGTTTGAAGCCCATACTCAGGAGATGCTGGCTGATGAACCCCTTGACTTTTCTGTAACCCGATTGCCATTCTTCTTGCGTCCAGAGCATCTTGGCTGATGATGGACTGAGATCCACTAGCTGCTTCCAGGATCCCAGATGCTATGGCAATCGTGCTACTGGTGTCCAGATTTCTGAACAGATCTGAACAGATGTTGATCTTTGAAGTGTTTCTTTCTTAGAAAGCCAAATCAGCTGTGCCCTGTGTCCAGATTCAAGAGCGGCTTGAGGCTTCCAGGGATGAATAAGACGCTTCTTGGACACGACTCTGACCCGGATCTGGGAAGGACCTGACATGTGGCCGTGGTTCAAAATGCTTGACTCAACAGTGTGTGTTTTTTTGTTGGAATCACATGGAATCACACTAATTCACTAATTAAAACAAACACGAGTTTTAAGCCTTGAACATTGTCAGCGCCAGGACTTGGGAGCTGAAAGAATCTCCCGGTACCTGGGGTCAGCAAATGGATCGCTACACCAGGCGCCCACAATGGCTGGGGGGGTACCAATGGAAACAATTGTTTTTGCTGTTTTTATCTGGTTTTTTCTTTTCTTTTTAAAAGGCATTTACATAAGCATCCAAGTTGGATAGGTGACTCGTTTTGAGCCACCGCAGCATTTGGCCGAAGGGTGGCCATGGATGGCCATTCCCCAAATGGCTAACCAACATTTTCACAATCACAAGTTGCCATGACTTGGGGGTGGTGAACTCCCATTATGCTGGGTGAATCCCATTCAAATCTAATTTCTGATGTTTAGTATCCCTGATTGCTTCGATGGTGACATCTCGATGTGTGTTGTTTCATTTTCAATTTTCGAATGGTCAAACGTCGAATCCCTATGTTTGATGGTGATTTTTCTTATGTTTGATATCTAAAGCTCAATTCTCCGAGGGTTAGATCCATATTTTCTATTTTTTTCTCATATTTTTGGTTGCGTGTTTCCCTTGATCTCCAGGAAACATCCTGAGAAGTTCGGTGGTGAAAGCCAAGCGCCTGACGCCCGTGTGGGGATCAGTTGGCAAGCCTCCGAGGCGCCAAATCTGAAGTGACGTTCGATGGTGGCGGCACCGCAGATATCGTTAGACCCTCCACATAGCCAGAAGAATGGGTATTTGACGCCATATTTTTAGTATTTTTTAGTACTTTTCCCAATCTTCAGGGTACGGTACTTGGAGGGTCTAGGTAGGTTGACTAGAGAGTTAGATGGGCTTAGAAACCACTGAAGATAACTACAGAGATAGAGATGGGTTCCCATATTGGCAACAATCCCAAATTCTGAGACTGAGACTGTGCAATTTAATCTGCAGGATTGCACGGTAAGTATCCAGACATATTGATTTCCTGGCAAAAGTATGAAGAATTCGCCTAAAAGGAGATGATCGGGGGCCTTCAAGGGATTCTTTTCACGACCCAGTATTTGGTCTGGATGCTACTTGGATGTGCATCCCAGTTTCTAAATGGGTTTCTCAGCAAAGCATCTCGCTCAGTCAGATGAGTGGAAGATAGCCCAGTTGAAATCCTGGTGGTGGCAGGTGGGGTTGAAGTTTACCTTTGACCAGCACATGAGCACCTTGGAAGAGGATCATTGGTTGTGATGATTCAAATCATCCCCAAATGGTTGGTTTCTGGGATGCTTCATGATTGGGCTTACCGCTTTAAATCAACCGATATCAATGTTTTTTGAATGGTTTTGGGTCTCGTCGTGGGGCGCTAGTTGGGCTATTTGAAGCCCTGCAACAGACACCTAACCTGAAATGCTTCCATTTCCTGCAGATGCCTTGGCGCAGAAGCACTAGAATTCAGCACGCTGTGTGCGTAGCTGCTTCTGCAAGGTAGGAATGCACGGTTCACTTGCCAGCAACCGGTCGAGTATGTCAGTATGGGTCATGGTCAATGTTGGATGAACATCAATCCATCGGGATTTAGATCCCCATTAGATGGATTCCAATTCTGTGATGACCACCATGCTACAACCATGGAAGATATGAACTGCACCCCAAAATTAGAGGCTTTACAGCAACAATGGGATGATTTATATATATATATATAGATACATTATATATATATAGATACATTATATATATATATAGATACATATATATATATACATTATATATAGATAGATATATATATATATATAGATACATATATATATATATATATAAATTTATATCCCCCAAAAAACGACCAAGGTCTTTCGTTCCATGGCTCTAAGCCGAGGCAACTCCATGGATGCTTTGCGATTGTTGATGAAGGCCATGGTGACCGAGTGCTGCAATCAAAAACACCATAAACATATTAGCAACTTGTCAAACCAATAATAGATTCAACAATGTATATGCGAACAATTTATATAATGTACTAGTAACATGATTCAAATGATCTTTGAGTAAGATCAAATTATCTGGATATGTGCACGATCGACGACGCAACAAATGGCTATGACTCTATGAGAGTATGCTCATTGCTAATATGATGTCACACATCAGACCATCAGAAGTCACGGGCTGGGGTGGTCTTCTTGGGGTGCTGAGGTCCAGAAGGAGCAGCCCCCCAAGGTGCGGGAGGAATTCTTTGAGGTTGTTTCTCGCATCCTGACGTGAAACAATACACCAACACATACCAAAACCCATATGGAGTTGGTCCGAAAATGGGAGAATTCAGAAGGCAATGTTAGGAGGAATATGATGATAAACCATTTTTCCAAATTCTCACAGAAATCCATCTTTGACCTGGAGGAGGAGGTTGAAACCAATGGCAACCTGAGACACAGGTGTGTCTGATCATTTTTGGAGAGAATCCCAATTCGGACAATTCGCTTGAAACCCTTTGGGAGAGCTTGTTCATCATAGAAGTCCCTTTTCCCACTCGGTCAAGTGAAGGACAACCAGCCAGCCCTAAGCTATTGATGAGTCAAAATTGGGGGCATGATTGAGAATGGAAGTCGGATAGTCAATACTAAAAATGGACCAAAATCTGTGGTGTCTCTCCAGAGTCTTGGATTTTGACAGAGAATGTCCCCTTGATTCCCCTTGGCTGAGGCAAGTACTTCACAGAAGGCCGACCCTTGGCGGATCATTCCATGCTACTTGAGGCGGCTCGTGAGGTGCAGGTTCCCACAGAGGCCTGCGGTGGTGGAGTGCAAGGTGTGGGATATGAGAGTTTGCTAAGCCATCAGGGAGGGCCATTTTAAGTGCGAAACCAATGGTTTTGGGGTATCGGCATTGAATTTGGGGAAACGCACATATTGTCAATGATGGTTGATTGATTTGAGCAAGAAGATTGGGGGGTTCAGTGGCAAACATTGAGAGAAAACCTGGAACAAATGGGGATATCATCTATACAATGATGGTGAGGACTGGGGTGGAAACTTAGCGCTTCAAAGGAAATTATGGAGTGATCAGACGAATCTGACTACTCAAACCTATCCGCGAGCAACCATCAGATTTGGGAAGCATTGAGGGTGAACTGGACACCGCTGACATGGGGTACCAACAGACCACTGATCAATTTTGTGAGTACCCTCTGGTAAACTAACATAGCTATTGAACATGGCCATAGAAATAGTGGATTTTCCCATTAAAATGGTGATTTTCCATAGTTTTTTGTATGTTTACCAGAGGGTATTTCAATCTCAGCCACAGCGATCTTCATGATCTTCCTTGGCTTGAAATCTCCCCAGCACCCTCTGCCAGGGTTTGCTGCAGTGGCTGCAGAGTGGTGAGGGCACTTGGGAGATCCAGCGGAAGTACGCCGAGATCTTTTATGGTTGCTTGGCACGCTGAAAGGGAAGTTGCGAGCGCTCCAACATGCTCCAACTGCCCACCCCAAAAAAGTGATATATAAACTGCAGCTATATTCATGACACCGCAATGCTACTTACAACTTCTTGACATTCTGCTGCACTGAAGTCAGATCTATGGGTTGTAGGAGTTGCTGGTGTCAGTATTATAGTCTGAAGCGAAAAGAGCAAGGAGCCTAGAAATGAAGATCCACAACAGGAAGGTCCACTGAAGTACTGAAGAATCAACCTTTTGGTTTTCATCAAGCCCCGCAGTGAAGGCAAGGACCTGATGGCAATAAATCTGCTGAGGCTGGGGATACACTTCAGTTCCGGTCACGCTGGTCAGTTGTGAAGGCTGGCCACTTGCCAAAGGATACTGCCGGGTTTGCCCATCCAGACCAGATGATCAGCGGTGACTTTTTCAGCTTTTGAATTCGAGGATTTCAAAAGATTCCCCAAAAGCTCTCTCGGCTATGTTGCAATTTGATCCAATTTGTTTTGAGACATTCTTTGAGATGGGATGAGCTTATAGCTGTTAGTCCCATTTCCGGGTCTAGTCCCCTGACCAAAATTTCCAAACCTGGTGGGCCCAATGCCATTGCGTGCCCCTCTTCCAGGTGTGGATCAGCACATCCAAGGCTCTCAGCATTTGGATGACGCTCTGGCCGCAATCGGAAATTCTGGGGCCCAGGCGAGGATAGTGAGGTTGTTTTCTTATCTTCAATGGGATAAACTAACATGAACCGAGCACAAAGTGTGACAAGCAAGATTTGATTGGGGACACAAGCCACGTCCAAGTGACAAGGGGAGCACATATGGAGCACATATGGAGCACATAGCCCATGTCATTCTTTGTTTGATCTTTGCATCAGTGAGAAGATGCAAAATTGATGTGCTAAGCAGTCCAGTTTCCATTGGTCACTTTATGATCAGACTTGATGCGTGAATGGAACACATCAACTATCAACACGATCAACTATTCGCAGGCTTACAGTTATTCCCAGACTTGGGACGTGTTCTACCTGTTAGACTTGGCTCAGACTAAGATCCCAAGGTTTCAAAATGATGCGGTTCATCTACCGGAAATCAAGGCCAAATCCTTCAGTGAACTATGCAACACATCTTTGGAGTTTGTGGCAATGTTCAGGGCTTTAACTTGACTAGAAAGATCCCCCAGTTACTTCAGGGGGTTATAGTTTTATAATGCTATATAAATGTTATATAAATAAATAAATATATATATAATATAATGTTACATAAATGTATTATATATAATATACTCTTATATTCATGCTATACAGATGTGTATATATATACATACATACACGTATATATATATATACACACACATGTTTATACGCTCTTAAATGCTTTCAAAATTGAAACCACTAGCCGAATCCTGGGCTTCACATCATGCCAGTGCCATGGCCTGAGCTCCCCAGCACCATTCCTCGGCCGGAAGAGCGTGGCATCACCGTGCAGCAGCTGCGCGAGTTGCGTCTCTTCCTACAGCGACTCTGCAAGACGGGGCTGCTGAGAAAGGTGGGGACTTTGACCCAGTTTTTTTCAGTTATTTTTTAAGGGTGGCCTGGTGTCCCTGGATTTTTTAGGGGATGGAGAGGAATTGGATATATTTGGGGTATAATGTGATAGGTCGTGGGAAATCTCATGATGTAATGGGATATAGTCTCATAGTGGGTGTTTTGACCATGAGCGTAACTATACAAAGTAGACTGATATGGCCAAGCATTGCAGGGGATGTAACGGGATATAGCGGGATTAATGGGGTATATGGCCAATGTGATATCTGGGTTTGTCCAAAAATGGTGGATACCCCAAGGACTCCATCCCCCCGGGAGCCATCAACCAGATCCCAAGTTACCGCGTTGGAGGATGACAAAGCCATCAACTGGCACATGTTGAACCAGTACCACATCAGCGAGTTGGTCCTGGTACCAGTCATTCGTCGCAAGTTTCTCTCTTCTTGAATGCTCAAAAGCAGGCCTTGTAAATATGAGAAGTTAACATTAAGGTTTGAGAATCTGATTGGTCAAAAGCTTGCAACTTCACCAGTACCTAGATTGGTTTGGTGTGTGGTCCCTTCACTTGCACCTGTGCCTGTTCCATTCTCATTGGATACACCTTATTTGCAGCGCATCGCTGGTAGATTTGGGCCATTTGCTGGATGAATGCGAAATGCGGTTTGCTTTCACAAAGGTACGAGGTCATTTGATCAGTGGACAAAACCCCTCTTGGTTGATAATAGCTAGAATGATACAAGGTTATACTATCCAGCAGACACTATATATAACTATATTATACTTTATTATCGTTGTGGTTAATTGTGGTTAATTGTGGTTATACGATTATACTAGACTATCATGCTAGTTGATATGATATCGTTATACTTTCAATAGTTATACTACCCATACAGGAATCTTGGTTGACTATCACAATCCACTATGTGTTTTGAACACTGCGAAAATTGTCAACCTGGGCAACGGCGGTCGAGTATTGGTGGAGTGGGGCACGCGTCGTGGATACCACCCAGCAGAAGGGGCCACAACAAAACAGGCCGTAGATATGGGGTATACGGTATACCTCTTAACAAAACAATTTCAATGAGAAAATCTGATTTGAGATGATTTGAGACTATTTTGGATCAACCAGGTTTTGGGCAAAACCATATATGAATCGATGTTCTTTTCATTTTGAAAGGTCGCATCATTGTAGCATTTGATCTGATACTTTCCGAGGTCATTTCTCACCTCCATTTCAAGCAGCAGTTGGAAGGACCACCCCGACGGTCATGGGTAGAGATGGTGGCTGCAGGACCACAAAAGCCTCAGATTTTGATGAGCCATTCCTGGGGCGGCTACTTTCGAGACTTCATGGCTGTGATAGACAAGGCGTGCGTCAAGGATGAGCCGGTCAGGATCTATGATATACGGTATCTCACCGTGGGACATAACTCATATCACAAGTTCAGGGAATGCAGATGATGCAGATGCCTTTTTGAAGAGTAAATTTTAGTTTTGAAATCTATGTTGATGAGCGCCCGGATGACTTTCTTGTCTATGCCATCCTTTTTTTCTGAGCCAACAAAAGGGGCAGTGCAGTTTGTTTTGTTCATCCTTACCTTCATCCATTTTTTTCGTCTGACAATGGGGTACCCCTCCAAATTTGATGGTTTATCAGATCATCATTTTCCCTCTTAAATGGCCCATTTGATGGGATTTTCAGACATACCAATCTTTATTCATTAGTCTTTGGTGCCACAGGTGGTTGCTGACAGAGGATGCAGCCCTTTGACTCCGATTTGGGTTTCTGGTCAAGTGGTGTCAAGTCTAGTTTTCTGCTTTCCATCTCCAAATAGATGCGCTGATTGTGTGCGTGGCATATGTTCCGCGTATCCCCCCATATTTCCCACCACTTTATAGGTTGAAACCAGCCAACTATAAATTATACCCAATTATCCCTTTTGCTCCTGCCTAGATTTAAATTCAAATTCAACAAATATCTTTCCAGGCGGATGGGGATAAATTCTCCATCACCACATCTCAGCCAGGTTTGTACCTTTGCAAACTCGCAGTTTGGGGAGAACTTTGGTCCAACTCTGGAGGAAAGCCCCTTCTTCCGTGCCATCTCCGTGGCAGAAGGCACCTGCGCCAGGGCACCAGGGGCTGATGTGGGACGTCGCCCTGGCACCGAAAGACTTCAATTTTGAAACATGGATCAGGTGTTGCAGAACCCGCCACTCAGGAGTAAAACAATAACACATAAACCAGGTAGTAGAACCACATGTAGTCCCCCATCAACAGGGTATTGTTTAAACATGTTTATAGAAACATATTCACCCCGCTTCGCGTGGGGTGGCCGCCCACACCGCAGGTTTATTTCGGTCCGTGAGAGGGGCTAAGGGTGGTTTTCCCCCGTGGGGGCTCTTCAAGCTAAGAAGTTTCAATAAGAAATCCTTCCAAAACATTGTTTTTGACAGTGTTTTTCCAATGTTTCCAGTCAAACAGACGGTAATTTACACGTTTTTTGCCATAAAGGCAGTAAATCCTTCCAAAACAGTGCTTTTGACAGTGTTTTTGTAATGTTTCCAGTCAAGCATACGGTAATTTACACGTTTTTTGCTATAACGTCAGTCCAAAACACTTGTTTTTGCAGTGTTTTCAATGCTCTGGCATCCAAAAACCCTGCAAAATCTTGCTATGTACAATGTTTTTTTCATTTTTGGCCGTTTTTCCATTGCCGGAAAGCTACCAAAATGACCCAAAATTCCATTTCAATACCCTCTTGCGCTCAGACACCCAAAAATCCTCGAAAAATGTCGAAAACACCACCGTATTCTGGTCTCGGTGCGAAACCGTTTTTGGGCCCCCCCCCAGCTAAAGCTGATATAGCGACTGCTATATTAACAAATGTCATTGAGCATTTAGTGTTGCTGTTGCCCCCCAATAAGCACGCCTTCACCGCCAAAGCGGTGTGGGCGGATTTTGTTTAAACATGGATTAAACATTGGATTTGTTGAAACCGTTTAAGCACGGAAGGGGACCAAGCCTGAAAGGCACTGTGCTGGTGGTGGATCGAGAAGCTGGATCCCTGACCCGGATCTGGTGCGGCCTGGAACTACATTTCACTGACAAACTGCAGAACCTCCGCGGCATGTGCTCAAAAACATGTGAAGTTCTTGATCCAATTCATGCGTACTGGTAATTAAATTGAACAAAGTAGGATTATCATGTTCATATTTTCCAGGACAGCAGTTCACTACACTTTTTCTCATGTGAAAGGTCTGTTGGACTCCAAGCAGTTCACCATGCTGCACAGGAAAGATTTGCAGGTCTACACCCCGAGTGGTCGCATTGGTTCCCAGTTGGTCACTTCGGGCCCTTTGGTGGAAGCGATTGCCGGCTGGGACGTGACATGCTGTGAGGCCACACAGCCCAGCGACCGCCGGCAGATCCTGAACTATTTGGTGAACCCCATGGGAGAGAAGACTCTGAGCTTACGTAGTTACATCATGTCACATCTAAAACATGGCTGGGACATGCTGGGACACTCTGAAATCGTTTTTGGGGATTCTGGGACTATGAGATCTTTTCGGGATTCGGGCATATTTTGGACAACCCAAACAATGAATAGAACCACATAGGAGCTAAAGTCCAGAATCCATGTTTTGACATGTTTTGACTATATACTCAAAATTCCACAACATCCTGAGTCTAAGATCTAATTTTGATGGGTGGTTGGGGTTTTGCACCATCCAGGAATGGACTGGTGAAAGGTGCCGATGGCCATCTAGTCTTGGAACAGGTGGGGGGGAAACTTGGAACTTTCCATATTGGCGCCATGAAATTGTTGACCATTTGAGACCCACCTGCAGGGTTGGAGGAAACTGCTGGAAGATGATGCGAAAGACGCGACCAAAATGCGCACTACAGGTGAGGCAGAATATCTACATGAGGCAGAGCTCTTTCGAGAACATGCAGATGCATTTTCCAATCTGAATCAGATGGTTCGGAACAAAGTCAAAGAAGCAATTTGTGTGCTGGAAACAAGCAAGACGGGATGCAGGATCAACCCCATTGAGCAACGCGGAATTATGTTTGGCAGACTGCGTGAATTCTTGAAGGCTTTGAAGCAGGAGATTTGTGCACACATTGACTTCGAGTATGAGACAGTGACTACGCGTGAAGTAGTGAGCACAATATTCAAAAAGCGCTATATCGACGTTTCACATTCTGAGATTGTGAACGATCGGCCGACCTTTCCGACGTATATTATTGAACACTTGTGGGACATGAGGCAGGTTCGCAATATGTTGCTGACGACATGAGGGACATGAGCAGTGTCCCAAACACTGTTGGTTGCGGGTTGTGTTGCTTCAGGGTTTTACTTTTGGGATGGCTTCAATCCATCAACGAGTTTCGGCTTATTGGGGGTTAGTCCAGGCTAGTGTATATACAGTACACATGTCTGTATATACTGTAACTAGCCGTTTTGCAACCCTGTAAAACATGTAAAAGCTAGCTAAATGGATTCTATTATATCATCAAAAACACATGCAGAAAAGCTGTGACATCTTTGGTTATTTTTCAAGCGCAGTCCTCCACAGCCTCCACAGGTTCTCGGAACTCGTTGCGGGCATTGAATGGTTCGCGGAGGCACGGCAACTTAGCGACACCTCGGCGATCTGGTTGGATCTGGCGGCCTATCGCCATGGCATCGCCGGGGAAATGTTCCGCCCAGAGCCTGGGCGACGGGGCGAGGGCAATGGTGTGGTTTCAAGGTATGATTGAATAGCATGTATATAATAGCAACCAAAAAATATGGGGGTTTAAGTTGAAGATGACTTAAGTATGAACATATGGGATTGATTTCACCATCAACATTCGGGTAAACTCTGTTGCAGAGTATCACGATTTTTTTTTGGGGACGGAAATCCTCTCAATGCCTGCCGATTCCATCATGGGTATTCAGTAAAAAAAAACCGTCCGACGGTGAAGACCCCAAGAATAGATGGTTCAACGTGATTTAACTCATGTTACTCATGTTAATAAACCCTTATCTTGGTCGTGGTGCTTAGTAAAGCCATAACAAAAGCAGTAACAAATCCTGAGGGATGTTCACCTTTGGAGCGAAATGAGGAGCAGGAGAATGTGCTGGGAAAGCTGAACGGAATCACGGAGGGTAGAGCCTTCCTTTGGCCCGGCAATGGTGTGGACATCAACCGGGCTTGGTTCATGCCACTCGTCACAGCTGGAACGACCATGGACCATGGTGCTCTTGAGAAGGGGACATCATGGAAACCATGGGAATATTTCTGTGATGCTCATGACCAGACGTACACATACACAGGGCACAAGATATGAATATGATATGCCGATATGCAGTGTGTGTGAATCTCAGGGTGATTTCATGAGGCTCATGATCCATTGTGCATGGCTTTGAGAACCTGGTGCTTTCGTGCTGAGTTTAATCTGCAGCTCCAGCCTTTCCAGGAATCCCTGCGCCATGTTACCATAAATGATACTAAACTGCCTTCAGGGAATGTAGCATCCAGTTTTCTGCAAAGATGCCAGGTCACTTCCAATGTTTTTGGTGTCCATGACCATGAATATCATTGACGCCAGCATATTTGGCTTTAGGTGAATGTTCTGGAAAATTGCGATCAACCATGATAAATCGGGTACTTCCAGACTTCCAGATCTATATTTCCATGATTTTCATTGATTTTCGTAGATTTTCTAGTTTCGGTGTCCAGTTTCAGGTGCCCATGAAAAGAAGATCTCATCCCCATCCCATTATATATATACACGTATATATTTATATATACACACTGTATATTTTTTTAATCATCCTCCAAGGCATGCGTTGCACGTGACCCGCAAAAGCGCCAAACTCATCGATTTCGTGACCTCCACGGGGGCCGTGGCCTGTAGCGTGGCGTTCCCCGATGGCTCCTGGGCCTTTGGGAACTTTGACGCCAGCATTGCGCAGCAGTTGGTGGAGCTGGATGCCAATGCCAGCAAGGTCTCAATGGATGCCGGTTTTGATGGGTTTTAGATGGTTTTAGATGGTTTTAATGGGTTCCGAATTTATTTTGTTTTTTTTTCATGTTGAAGGATCTGAATTGAATGGGTTGTAATGGGGTTCACAGAATCCTCCCGGTTGATATTGACTTATAGATCTTATAGTTTTAAACATAGGGGTTTTACTAATCTTACATATTTAATGTCAACTCATTATACACCCAGTTCACTACTGAGGGGGATACCAATAGTATTTTGGGGGTAGGCCCCCCAACAGACTCTATTAATCCGGGGTTGACATTATTCATACTATTTACATCTATTTACATTGTAGGTCAAACCGTCCCATGGATAAGATGGGATGATTGCTGCGTAAAAGGAGCTTCACCATGGGAAATGTTTTCTTTCGCTGTCTATGCATGATGCAGGGTTTTGGGTTTCGATGAAACCTAGATCCACACCAACAATGACCCCCTCCTCTACTGTACTTCTGAATTTGGCAATGGCTCTGTATTTTTTTATCTTGAGCGCAGCTGTGTTGCTAGGCCACAGAGCAACGGGATCTCGACATGATCTTCAACGTTCTGAGATCAGCCAAAGGCGGTTTCAAGCGTTTCCAGCAACGACTCTGCCGCATTGCCGCCGGGCCTGTGATTCGAGAGGCTGCAGCACGCGGCAAGGCCGAGGTGCAAAGCCCTCAGATTTTGGGTTTTGGTGATTTTTTGGGTTCTAAAGTTCTAAACCATCTTGAGGGGCTCCAGCTTGACACGCATGGCCAGGATATCTCGCAGATTCTGCGACTTTGCGGGTCCTCAGGCTTGGTCATCAACAGCAGCTCGCTGGGAGGCAGCTTGGGAGAGATGGCAACCCACGTGGCCGCCGCTGCGGGTCACGTTGAAGTTCTTGAAGCGACTGGGCCTGTTGACCGTGGGGCAGTATGCCATCATTTGAGCAGCCCCAAAACCTACAGACTTGGTTGATGAGCATAGGGGCTCACACTCCCCTTAACACTCTTGATATCTCGGTGATTGGGGATTATCTTGATCAAACTGGGATTCTTCAGAATCCCCATCAACCACTATTTGGGGATGTTCCCATGTCGTGGTTTTACTTCCTCTGCTTGAGTTCACTGAGGCCCTTCTAAATCTGAGTGCAGATCCGAATGCAGAGGACCAGATTAACGAGACACCATTGCACTACGCAGCTTTTACGGGACATCTCGATTGCGTGAAACTGCCCCTTGTCGAAGGCCAAAGGCCATCGAGGTACATTTAGAGCGTGCTGCTTTTGTGGTTCAGCATACATATGGAATCAGATGGACATATGGTTACCCCCCCGAACAGATGGAAAAGTAAATGACTGTCAAAACAGATACTCTTGATAATCACATCTTGCAGTGGGAACAGATTATGGTAATTATTTGATATTATTTGTACATGATTTGCCTGTTGAAATTAGGATTTCCCAGTGCCAGGTGAAACGGTCGTTTTCGCTCCATTTCGCTCCTGATAGCTCCGTTCACCAAGGCTTTTGTCCCGGAGTGCCAATGTTTGTGCTGAGTCAGCCTTTGGTGAAACGCCTCTGGACGTTGCTAGCGACAACATCGCAGAATTCTGTGGCTCGCCGGCCAGAAGGGAGCATGAAGATGGTAGTTGTATGTAGTTGTGAAATGTTGTGAAATAAACATGCTTCTACCGATTCTACCGTATATTGATGTATATTGATACTCCTTCCCCCCAATATGACATTCTGAGTACGTTCCCCTATATGGGCCCCCCAAATGAACAGACTATAACGGACATGTGGAATAAACCATACCCAACTGGGGTTTCTCATTGGAATTGCCATGATTTACCACATTGCTTGCCAACTGAGTTTCCGTATTTTTTTGGCTTGTTGGCAACAAGCACGCAGGTGGTGTGGAGACGCGTAGCATTTGCACACTCCTGGACATTTGGGCGGACTGACAGGTTGGGTCGTCCGTTGGGTCGTCCAATCGGGCTACCAACGGACCCACAAAAGGCAAGCGCCTTTTTGAGGGACCATTGGAACCATCCCAAAATGGGAAAAGTTAATGATTCATGGTTTTGCAGGGCAAAGCACTCTGCAAATGTAAATGGAACAAGAGTTGTGAAACTCTTGTGGTGCCACAATTGCTGCGCCATCTGAACTCTCTGAAGCGTTTGCTGCGGAAAAGATATGAACTTGCTGTGGCTTATAACATCTTATAACACTTTTATTTGTTCAGTGCTTCGTTGGTAAAAACCAGACGGACAGGGGTTTTGGTGTTGGCCAAACTGAACCCATCAACCTGCCCATTGGGGATCGGATGGTTGGTCCATACCACTTCTGGTGAGTTTCTAGTAATATACCCTTTCTCGTTACACCAGGTAGTGGGTTTTCATTCTTGGGTCAATCCCATAGTCCTTTTCTACGCTTGCTTAAATGATCACTTCCTACTTGGCTTACCACATTCAATGTCAACTCCGGATGAATCAACCTGACTTAGAATTGGGGGTGTAGCATTTTATCATTATTTGAGGGGGGCGGTGCCCCAGGAAAAACTAACATAGATGTGGAAAATGGCACATTTCTGGATGAATTACCTATTTGAATGGTGATTTTCCACATCCATCTAGTTTGTCCCAGCGAACCCCCCCAATTAATCAAAGCCGCCCTGACCTTGCCATAGGACACGCTGCACAGCTACTAAGGCCTATTTGCAAGTCTTCCAGCGTTTGCTGGACGAGCCTCTCCCCAATAAAGCAGCTGACCAAAAGCTACCCATTTGGGAGATGCTTGGCCAATGGCACTTGTGAAAGGACATGAACGGGAAGCGATATCGACTCATTTCAGTAAGTTTCGACTGAGCTATTTGTTTTGCAGGATTTAGACCTTGAAGGTAGTCTTTTTTTGCGTAATTCTACAGTACATGAACCGGAAAACAACTACCACATATATGATCATATATGATCATATATGTTTGATTGAAAAACATGATCAAAAAAAATCCAAAAACAGATATGTGCTTATCAATACAGGAAGGAGGGAAGATAGGAAGGAAGGAAGGAAGGGAGGGAGGGAGGGAGGGAGGGAGGGAAAAGGGAGCAAGGAAGGGAGGAAGGGACTGATGGGACGGATGGAATGGATGGAATGGATGGAATGGATGGAATGGATGGAATGGATGGAATGAGAATTCAATCTTGTTTGATACGTCATATATGCCTCACACGGTCCGCATTCTGAGGAAGTATGCGAGGATGGCCCAAGTGGCTGGCACGCCAAATGGAAAGGACGAAACACTGTTTGACCAATCATTCCCAATCGATCTTTTGACATCATATTTTATGAACATGATATAATATGCATATATATATATATTAATATCTATATATATATATTATATGTACAATTCAATGTGTATATATAAGCATTTGTGTATGTTTCAGAGACGATTAATATGTATATATTTACATGCATATCCAGATACATGGCCATGGTAGCCACCCAAAACTTACCTTTTTGCCATGATCTGCATGGTTGGGCAGAACCTACCTTTCTGCTATGATCTACATCATATACACATATTGTTAATATATTTGTGTCCTATATATATACAGTGTATATATACAGTGTATATATATATATTATATATGTTATAGAATCCAGCTTTAGTTCCTACAGTCGGCCCCTCCGATCCAATGGTAGTGAGTTTGATTGCATGAAATTTGTGGTTCTCAGTGTTATTTTTGGAGGTCCCCTGAGCTGTGGTTCTCGCGTCCGGTGATGGTTGATGGTTTCCTACTTCCACCTGGGACGATCCAAACAAGTGAGGGCCCTGCTGGGGTTATGACGCCAGTCATTCCTGCTTAAAGACTTCTGGTCCCTATAGCAACAGGGATTCTTCGATATAAAACTGAGTGAAACATAGTGAAACTATAAAACTGTATAGCTGTACTTCTTGAGATTATACAACTACCTGGGATAGTCATCCAGGTACCAAATGGGGCTATCCGGTTTGTCCATAAGTGTATCCCATTCATAACTGAGTTCTCATAAAATCATAAAACATCCCGCTTTTTTAATGGGCCGTGGAGTTAGTTATTTGGTTACGTAACCCCAAACATACCTGGGTCGATTTCATGGGTTATAACTCCCGCAAACCAATTAGCTAATCATTGCTATTGGGCCCCCTCCAAAGGTGAGCATTCGCCCAAAAAATGGATGGTCAAAACATGGTGGCTGTTGGTTGTCCTGATTGGAGGGTCAGCTTGGAGGCCATGACATCAGAACCTGGTGGCTGTCAGCAGTTCCAGGACTTCTCTTGGGAAGCTCACGACATCTTCAATGGTGAAACCGCCCAGAACCTGCGGTCACAAGGTGTTGGAAGAGGGTTGTTGGGTTGCAAAAAGGGGATGAACCATGGCTTCTTTGGTGTCATTAGAATATCGTTTGACTCCATGACTCGATATATTGGGTTGACTCATGATAGTATATGTCCACGTTTTTTTTGATTCTATGGATACTGAAGATTCGCAGGCCTGAAGATCTCTTGAAACTGTTGAAACTTCCAGCCAGGTTGCAAGGCTAGCTGACGCATGGTGGAGGACAGGTGAGAGCGGCCCACATAGGGACTCTTCGGCTGTTGGTTTTGGGAGCCTTCCCATGATCCTAATGTTAGACCATGTGGGTACCTTCAAGGTGGTGTTGAAAACCCCCAGTAGTGGTGGTTTATCGGGGGACTGCCCTCCCAGTCATGGGGGATCGCAGCTCATGTGGGATTGTTTCAGCGTAGTTGTTTGATGTTGTTGGTCAAGCAGGTGCCATTTGACATCGCTGCTGTCTTGCTGTCTTGCGAGCGAATGAAATGTGCTGCTCCTGCTGTCTCAGAGTGTCCTGCGAACACATGGGCCCGCAACGAACTCACTGGTCCTCCATAAACAAACAGCTGTCTTGAGCAGCAAAGGAGACAATCAGCTGCAGTGACAACTACCTGTTGATGACCCTGGTGCACAGAAAACTAGCTGGAATTTATGGATGTGAATTCCCCCTGAAATATGGAGACATAGGTCTTCAACATTCTTAAACCATCCCTACATCCCACATTTGACGCTTTGAAGACATCCACTCGGAGCACATTGACAGCTTCTGACCAGTTTGACAACGCACCGTTGCCTGGCACAGACTCCTTGGAGGACCCACGGATTTGTACATAAGCAGATAACAAGGCTTGGTAAATGTCCCATTTCGGAGATACACATATTCTAATTTTTATATGATCTACATTGATCTACAGCTTCTATAACTTGCGTATATATATATATTATATGTATTATATGTCACTATGTCGCCTTGAGCTGTTGAAGATGATCTCCTTAAATGGGACATGGATCAGCCCAGAGTGTGGCAAAGGGACTTCCCGGAAGTTCCGACTGCTCGCTGGACTTATCTGGGCAGTTCTTCAAAAAAATCTTGCTGGGCGCTGTGGACCTCGCGGATGACCCGGCCAGACCAGCTTGCTGCAAAACACCATGGAGCATTGTGCTGGTGAGGCAGGAAGCAGTTTGGGGATGTTTTGGAGAGTTTGGCCATGTTTGCCGGCTGCATGGTATGTTTTGATGCCTTGCTGCGAAAGGAATGTCGAACTATGTTGAGAAAACTTGACCATCTTGTCTCCAGCGAAGAAGCTTTCAAAATGCCGCTTCAAACTGCCACAGCAAAACATGCATGGGAAATCTGTGCGCTATTTCAAGTTTTTCACATCTTGCGCTTTCCAAGTTTTGCAGCTTGAAATCTTGGATGAAGCACAACCATGGTCGACGTTGTCCGCTGAATCCAGGCTTGGAGATCCCAGGTCAGGCACCAAGTGCACCAAGGACCGTCGTTTCAGGATACATTGAATCTCAATAAATATCATGTGTATTTGTTTAAACATATAGTTATGAAGTATATCTCTATCATGGTGTACATAATATACATAATGTAGACATATATACTATACATATATTCTGTTCATATAGTATGTAGTATACGCTGTAGATGCTGAGGCTCACCGACCTGAGGATGTCAGCGTCTGAGCCGTGCAGGAATATGGAATCCAGCAAATCCGTATACGTATATATATATATATAAATAATATATATATATATATTATATTATATTATATATATATATTACATAATATACAATATATCTTTGGATGTTCAAAATTGACAAATGATGTTCACATTCTGAAACGGGGATGGGCTCAAGCATTTCTTCAGCATGGACTGCTTGATCTAGCTAGAGACACACAGACATGTGCACACAGCACAAGCCATGTTTACTAAATCAATGTTTGGTAAACACATATGCCTAAACTTGGAGACTCATTGCTTCTTGTTGCATCTGGTTGCATTCTAATTCTGACTGATTCCATGCTAGGCTGCATGCTCACCTAGGCGGTTGCTTTGCTGAGTGCGTGGGGTAGGCCTGCATCTGTGTCAGCTTGATCTCCGACGTTCTGAATGGAGCTATCCCCCTGAAATAATGAGCTCACCATTGAACATGAGAAATGATAGAGATTCAAGATATTTCAAGATGATTTAGATATATTTAGATAATAGATTCCAATGATTTCCAATGGTTTCCCATGGTTTTCAAGGCAGTTTCAGTGAGCATTCTCTGATTCCACCAGCACGATGGAGGGAGCTACGTTTTTTGAGCTTCCCTAGCATCTGACAGTTATATTAGAGCCATAAAGATAATCATAAACACACCATAAATACATAATAATAATACATATAAGTACTGAGTTACTCAACTATGAACAGTTATATTAGTTATATCATAACTTACATAATGATGCAGCATATTGGGCTCAAGTCATTGATAGTTCTGCCGTTCTGCCTGCAACTCGACTTCCTGAGGCAATGGAAGGTGCCGAATGGTGCCGGTCCGTTCGTTGCGATGAATCATTTCTGTGTGCGTATAATATATGATAGTAGCATATAGTAGTAATAGTATGATTATCATATGATAGATAGTAATAATAATATGTAATAATGTGTAATAATATGTAATCATATATAATACTGGAATGATATCTGCAATACATGCAATATAGTTTCCTGCTGAAAGCGACAAGTCATCTGTGAATGTTCTAACTGATAATTGTCTATTTTCGATCCCTAAACCATTGATGACGATCCCTATGCGAATTGTATCCTTTTTCGCAGGGGTGGTTCACCCATCAATCAGTTTTTTTTTCCCCAATAGATGTCGTTGAAGAGCCCCATTTTGGTTGATTGATCCCCCATTTGGTGTTCCTCATTTGGTTTGATTTCAATTTCTTCATGCCATATCCTATTTTTTTGTGTGTTTATATATGCCCCGATTCTGTTTTGCATACCCCATTTTGACCGCTGAAGCGAGTCCCGGTTCGTCATTGCATAATGACCACTCTGTATGGCTGGTCAAATTCCCAGCCTAGTGGTCTATCATGGTCTATCTACACTATAACTCAACAAACCATATGGTGACATGGCTCTCACTTCCCGACTTTTCCATACTTTTCCCAAGTTTCCCCATTTCGGGTTTCGCCGGGTCCAGGGCGACATGTGGAGCTCTATCCGGACACCGATGATGAGATGCAGTGGCCTCCAACTGCCGCCTATCTTCCACCCAGGCAGTGCCCGGCCACAGAGTTCCTGGAGTCCTTGATGTGTGCCTGGGTGGAAATTTCGGGCGGTTTCTAGATTTATTGAACATTGAAGAATGATGAATGTTCTTGATTTGTGCTTGAAGTTTGACTTTAGAATATTTTAGATACGCCCCCCTTTTTTTGCTAAGGCCGTTCGTTGGCTTTTGCAGGTTTTTGCGCGACACAATCTTCGGGTGTGCATAAACATGTGTTTTGAACCATAAAACTTATGCCCCTAGACCCAGTCCAAGTTGTCAGACAGGAAATAGGGGGGTTACAGTAGTCGTCAAAATATATATATATATTCCCTTCTCAATGGTCATAACTGTCATAACTTGGGGGGCGTTCGAGGGCTAAATCACCCATCCAACCTGTAGACAGCGTAGATGGCCCGCCATGTCCCACCTCACCAGGTCCGATGAAGACGAGTTTCGTGCGGGCCGTGCGTGTGCTGGATCTTGCTGCAGCTCTGCCTACGCTGCCAGTGACGCCATTGACGCCATCCACGGAGTCATGCCTGGGGAGTTGATGTAAATATGTATATATATATAATATATATATATATTATTATATATATATATCATATGTATATATATATATAGTAATGGCAACACCGGATTAATAACCCCCCCACAAGGTCAGATGGACCTTGTAAGGTCTTTCCTAGTTTTCCCCCTAAATAAATACCCCCTTGGAAGGGGTTGATTAATAAGGGGAACCCTCTGGTTATTATTAATGGGGGACATGGGCTCATGGGGGGGTACCCTTTGGGAGTATCCAAACTGATGATTTTTATTAAGAATTTAATTAGAAATCAATCATTTGGGGAATAGTTGTTTTTTCCAGATTTTCATGATCAGCAGTGATGGGTTCTGGTGTTCATGAGGTTTCAACTTAAGTATAGAATAAGGAAACCATTTGAAAATAAAGAGAGTAGGAAAATGAAACAAAATGGGATTTCAGCACTGGAGGTTGATTAATCAGGTCCAGGCAAAAGAGTTCATTAATCCAGGGGGACCACCCTGTTTTTAAATTACATTTTTTTTGGGGCAGTGGGGGGTCGATTAATCCGGAGGGGTTGATTAATCCTGACTTGACATTACTAGTATATGTATGTATGTATGTATGTATGTATGTATGTATGTATGTATGTATGTATGTATGTATGTATGTATGTATGTATGTATGTATGTATGTATGTATGTATGTATGTATGTATGTATGTATGTATGTATGTATGTATGTATGTATGTATGTATGTATGTATGTATGTATGTATGTATGTATGTATGTATGTATGTATGTATGTATGTATGTATGTATGTATGTATGTATGTATGTATGTATGTATGTATGTATGTATGTATGTATGTATGTATGTTATGTTATGTTATGTATGTATGTATGTATGTATGTATGTATATATATATATATGTAGGTGCATATGTATGTATATATCGTATATCACCTATATGTATACATACAGGTGCGTTTTACTATGGCAGCCATGGCATTTGTTTAATTCGTGAGCTTTTTGGATCTGGGATGTGGGGGGTCATGCCACGGTGGCAGCTCTGGAGCTGCCAAAGGTTTTGATCCATCCCCAGGCAAAACTGGGTGAGGGTTGTCCCACTAGGCACATCATCTTGCGAAAAACACTCTTTTTGGCCCGTAAGTAGCAATTGCCAGTGAATTCCAGTAACGGATTTTCCTATTGACAGCTTTCAGCAATTGCAGCAATATGCCTTGGCCATCACCTTGCATCACACGAGTCCAATACAAACCCAAACCGTTATTACTCCATCCCACCCGACCCCAGGTCTAGAATGTGCAACAGTCCTGAAGAGTCCTGGTTTTCACACCAAATGGGCGCTCAGCTAAGCCATTGTGGATGTTCATAGCCCATTTAGATCCATTTAAGTAGATGGTCCCATGTTGCACATCGTTTTGTGCCATTTTCAAGGGTTAACCATCCACCCACATGGTGATTCATAGGGGCTTGTCCAAGAATGGGACACCCCAAAATCCAATGGTTTGTCCATGGATTTCCCCCAATAAGAAGTGCAGTTTCGGGTATCGCCCATTTCTGCCCAAATATGATGTCTGTTATCCCATGATATCTCCATAAAATGGTTGGCCATGGTGGGCTATTTTTCCCTATTTTCCCCTATTTCTTGATCATTTTCTTGTCCCAGCGAGGATTTCACTTCCAGGGTCAGTTGCCGTTCCGACGAGTCCGATTCCCACGACGAAGCCACGGATGTTGCAATGACGGAATCGACCCGGACTTCGAAGCGAAGCAAAAAAACGGCAGCGGTGACCAGTGAAGTGCTACAGGCGGCGCAGTTAACTGGAGATTTGGCCTTAAGGAGGGCGCGCGCCATGAACTGTGATGATGCTTGGTGGTTGTTTGGTGGTCAACTTGGGGATGAAAAATTGTGGAGTGTGCTCATTCTGGGCCAGTTTGGGATATTTTTGTTAGAAATCCCTTTACTTTTCTATGAAGTTTGACCCATGTCAGAATGGTCACTATTGAATAGTGGTTGGATTCCATTTTGCTGTTGCTTCTGAACCCGACCCTTATCACATCCGTTTGGGCGGATCTTTGTTATTGGTCATTTGACCCAGAAATCTCGTTCTCCGAGGCAGAGCCCCCAAAGGCGCGCTGGGGTGTGAGTGTCAAACCAAAGTCCAGGGCAGCTGGCGCCTAAGTTCAAATCCTGACCCAGCACGTCACAAGATGTCACAAGACAGGTGTGGGCACCTGTGGGTCAGTTGCAGGGTCCCTGAAAATGTCCCACAGAGAAGCAGACACATTCCAGCCAACAAAGTTTTTTCTGCACAACTTGATGACCATCACATCCATCAGGGACCGTGATTCAGATTTGTTGACTCACACTGATAGCTCCAAGCATGCTGCATCTGGGATGTTTACTTGGTGTTTTTTGTTATGTCGAGCAGGCAACAGGGAGTCCAAGTGGCCCAAAAACTTCATTTGGCAAACAGAAGCAGAGAAAAATCCCAGCTGCTGCTTGGTGCTCAAAACTTGGGAATCCCTTCGAGAGCACCAAAGTCTAGTGCTTCAAAGGCTCGATGAAGATGGGGAGATGGGGACCCCGAGTCAGAGAAGATTTCCGCAAGATGAACAAGATGCTGAATCCAAAAAAAGACACACGGTAGATTTCATCAAATTTCATCCCACGGCATTCCTCCACACGTTTCATCTCTATCTCTATCTCTCTCTCTCTCTAGTCTATGCTCGTGCTCTTTACAGGTCTCTTGTTTGTATAATCCGCAGGTGATAAGAATGTGTGGATATCATATGATACAGATAGATGATGATAGATGTGTGTGGATATCATCGAAAGACCGAACCTTGCGGAAATTTTGCTTTGAGGTATTCATATTATTTTCTTGCAACTTCCAGTTGCGAGCTGTACTGCATGCGATGTAAGATGCGTAGTTTGGCTCATTTGCTGGACATTACGTGCCGCAACATTTGATTGACAGAAGTGTCTCTGAAGACAGCCAGTATGCACATGTCAAGGACCTTGTTCTTATTTTTGATGGATCACGTTGGCACATGCCAACATCAAATGTTGCGTTAATGCGAGACTGCATGGTTGCATTTGAATTAAACCCAAGCCTCATGTACAGGATGATGACAGGTTTGCCAAGAAGGTCATAAGAAGGTCATGGACCCGATGTCAGGCTATTTGATGTTGATGAAACTATGGGTATACTGCCCTATGTAATGTCGCAAAAATTGGATCCCTAGAATCCCGTGGTTTATCATTTCTCTCCATTGAACACCCATTTTGGGACCATTTTGCAATAAACCCATATTGCATATTTTTGCATCATATTGCGCAATGTTCCTTCGAAAAAAGAACTAAACTGGTGGCAAGTCAGGCCTTTTCTGGCCACACAACTGGCTGAGGAAGAGAGGCGAAAAACGACTCTTGGATCTCTTGGTCAAAGCGTAACATAGTCGTTTTGGGCCCAGAGTCCAACCCCAGATGAATGTCGACCCCTGGGTTTTGGTTCCTTTGTGGCACCATCTGAACATCACCATGCTTATATAGTGTAGATATATAGCATATAATATGTTGATTTGGGATTCTCCTATTTGAAATTGTGTTTTGTATTGTTTTGTTTGAATCGGGCTGTCTCTAGACACCTCCGTAACTTTAGTACGTTGTATGCCGTATGCCTTGCAATATCAGTTGGCTCGCATAACATTAAATAACTAAGATTTCGCAGTAGTGGTGAACCTGCACCCAGAGATCAATGAGACATAAGTACAGATACATAAATGTGCGTTTGCACGATTCCCAATTGCTCATTCGGGGCCCGGCATGGTTTTGTAAAGCTTTTCTCCTTTCTCTTTAATATAGCCAATAAATAATCCACCGGTTCAATGGTTGGTCGCCTATGAGGATGGCATTTTTATGGGGCATCCATGGCTTGTCTCAAAATCCCATCATACATCGCCCAAGAGATCCAGCAGAATTCGCTGCAAAATGCCCATGTCATGGGCCGATCAGTGAAGCTCCTGCCAGATATGGCTCGCATGTTTTAACTGGGAGACTCCCAACCAAAAAATTGTGACATAAACAGAACAAACAAGGGAATACTAAGCATGGCTGATAGGTACCAAACGTGGTTGATTTCCTGGGTTGACTGATCTTCCAAATTTGACCAGCTGAGGTCAAGTCATGTTCCCTTCAGGTTGCCTCCCAAAGAGGCGGTAAGATCCATCCAGCTCGGAAAACAAACGGCGGTGCTTCTTCACAGATTGGTCCGCGGTGAAAATCGTCAATTTCAAGGATTTTCCTTGCATCAATTCTTAAGTGGGTAACAAGGCTCAGGGGAGAGAAGAACTCATTGACTTTCCAATGTTCAAGATAAAATCTGTCTGCAGACACTAACCTCCTGCAGATGCTACCCAGTAAACGAACACATAGCTATGGACTCTGGACCCTTACTGTAGAACATGATCATACAATATCATACATGATCTATAGATATCTATAGGCCATGTTCATCCTATTTCCATAGCAACACTCTGAGATTTTTGATCCTTGGGATGAGCCATGATACCAATTGACGTCGATGACGTGGCATGGTCGTGCTCAACAGAGCTTCGTATTGCGATCATGGAAGTGGAGCATACACAACTTACACAGAATACACAAAAATACGCAATACGAAACTTTCAAAGAAGCACTTTCTGGATAGATGATACAAGTTCAAACTGTTGGGCACAGATCGCCAAGTTCGGACGGTTTCTGACTCTGTTGGGAAACAGTTGCCGCAACGGGCGAACGGCTGGAAAGAGCGCCAGCAGGGACTGTTGATGCCGCAGGAATGGATGCAATAGCAGTCATGTCCCCAAATACAATACTACATGAGCTGCCGACTCGTTTGCGAATAAATTCTGCTTGATACAATATAATATAATATAGTATAATATTTACTGTAGATGAAATAGAAAACATGCCAGCAAACACAACAAGAAAACACCAAGACAGCTTGAACTTAAAAATAGATCGTAGGCATACTCTTGATGCATTTTTGAGTCGCAGGTCAATTTTATGGATGTGTGAAGTGTTCTGACTTTGAAACGGAGGGACTCCAAACATTGCTTGCATTTTGATTAAGCTGACGGGTCCCTCGCTTGCCGTCACGGGGGGAAAGATTGACGTTCACCGCATCGACGCGGTCGAACCACGCCGTGGCAGTGGTACCAAGACGCGGAGGGGAAACCTGGGGAAAAAGTGCTGGACATTGAGCTTCGGGGGTGCCAAATTCAGCTTTGAATGCGGTAAATCGACGCATGGATCCGAATGGTACAGATGGTCTGCGGGAGATAGTTTGTGCAAGAGTTGGACATCTACCATGGCCATACCGATGTCCTCCGTGATCAGTGAGTGTCAGGCGGATCAGCTAATGGATCCAGTGATCCAATCACAGTCATCATTCATGATCAATATCAAAGTCACCCAAGCTGCCATTCACTTGATCAACTTGATGACAATGTTGTGTCCATTCTCAGTTGTGGCATTTTTGGATATTTTTGGCACCCGATGGAGGTTGCAAGCTCTACATGTTGCAGCTATTGAGGCCATACCAGCAGCATGAGAAAACATGTTTGGCATTGGCCCAAGATTATCACTATCCATTGGCATTGTGGGTGGTGGGACAACCTATACTGTACCACTGTACTGCATAAGTTAGAAACTTGTACCGGGGGTTCATCCCACCTATACCTAGCATAGTGAGCTGGCCATGTATAATAGACGTATAATATACAGTATACCCATGGTATCGCCTGGTTGTGAACCATTGTGAACCACTTTATGCTGGGATGCGTATCCCACTATAACCCAGGTGATGCCAAACAATGGGCTGAATGACTTTGAGGGTGGATCTGCCACAACTCTGCATTATTATGACGATTCCATACGATTCCATCTTTTGCAAGACCGAAAGATACCGAAAGCCTAAAGTGGACACTCCAGAGATCTTACATGTGCAGCAAGTACTGCAGTAGGACTCAAACATCAATCTTCTGTCAACTTCAATCAACTTCCCATTTGATTCCCATTTGATCCCCGTCAAAAAATCACACCCGCAGGTCACCAGCGGCATGTTGATGAGAGGCGACCAAGCGCTTGAGAGCCTGGGAGCCACGGATCTCCGTGAGGCGGGAAGTTGGCCATGGCCATGACAAGGCTTCCTCTGAAAATTGAAGGAAACACCTCCGAAACCATGGCAAAAACTAGTGATTCATCATCATTTTCTCATCATTTTCTCATTATTTTCTCCATAACTTGCCATGACATTTATCATATTTATCTATCTATCTATCTATCTATATTTATCTTTTTTTTGCCTGAGCTCCAGAAATGTGGGATCCACAAAAGCCACGATCAATCCAACTTGGAGGGTAGCATTGTTTGATGCTTAAATTACTCAAGAAATTATCCAATTATCCAATTATCAGTGATAAAAAATATCGTAAAATATCAATCAGAAGGCAACTCTCACCTATCTGAAGGGCTCTTCTTGTTATATCCGTGCGTAGTTGAGCAGTTTCAATGACCCCCAGTTGATTGATGATTATGTGGGGTCATACTACCCTTTTCAGATACTGGGCATTATCATAATTCATTATTCATTACTTTCTGGGAATCCCGATGCAGTTATATGAGTTATACCATTTCCCACGAAATCCCACGAAGAATCCAACACATCAATGGACAATTCCCCATTGATTTCGATGATTGTCCTGTGAAAACCTCCATGTAGTTCGGGGGTTTCCCAGCCATGTTTGATTCCCGAATAAATATGGATAATATCATGGATTTTACCCATGGGCCATGATGGTTTAGACTTTTCAACTATTTCATCCGTGTATTACTCTGGTTGGTGGTTTGGAACATTTTTTATTTTTCCATATATTGGGAATAATCATCCCACTGACTTTCATATTTTTCAGAGGGGTTGAAACCACCAACCAGTACTGTATAGGAATCCAATGAGTAGCGATTTTCATCGATTTTCCGATAGGTTTTTTCCCAGCCTTTCGAGGTGATGGTGGCCTATGCTCGTTCTCGTTGGGCCTGCGACTTAGGGCGTTGAGGGACCCTAAAAACATAGCCATTGTGACATTGTGATGGAGAAAGATGTGAAATCTATGGCCATGAAAAATCCTAGAAAAACATGGTGAAGATGACGATGAACGATAGTGGCTATGGGATTGTGGAGTTCCTTCTGTTCTTGACCCCAAAGACCTGGTTGGAGAGCACCCAATCGTCCCCAAATCATTGAAGCTCTGGACTCATCACTCCACATTGTTCCACCCTTTCCAATTCTTCACTGGTTTGATTTAAGTTGTTTGTTTTGGACATGCCAAAGCTGGGCTTAGCCATTTTAAGCCTGTTTGAGACCCACGACTCAGGGATATCCCTTAAGATCCACTTCTGTGAAGCGAACTTTCCAACTTTCGAATTTTCTGATCCAAACGAATCTCAAGATCCCGAGCCTTAGAGGCCTGCCAGCCCATGCTACAATCTGCCGCAGATCGGCTTGCAGCACTGGAAGGCGGTGGTTTTGCCGTGGTTGCCAGAATCATCCCAGTGAACAGGAATGTAAATGGTATTCTCCGTTAATCAGACATGGCAAGCTGGGAAATCCACTCCAACTGGTGTTTTACACGGAAAATCAAAGAAAATAATCCAATAAATCTGGCGTTTTCCATTGCCATGTTTGATTGCCCGAGGGTATGTAAGTCTGTTTGAACATGTTTGAACCACATTTTTCAGAAGGGAATGATCCTGATGGTCCCTCAGTGACACGGCGGCAGGAAGTCACATGCACTTGCTCCAGGCATGGCTTTGGGCGAGTTCTTTGCAAGCCACGCTACAAGTACACTTGCCCGAACACACTTCGACACATTCATGTACACACACAGTATCATACTGTCTGTACATATATATATATATAGTATATATATTATACACATATTCTGCATGTATATGTACAATTGAATATACATACATATACATATATATATATATGTGTACATGTGAGACACACACACACACAATTGTCTAGTCTTAGTAGATTTGTGCGGGGCGGAGACCTGAAGGGATCCCCTCTGCATCTATCCACAACGGCTTTGTGTTTTTGTTTCTTGTTATTTTTTTTGTTCTTTCATCCCATGGTATTTCTTGGGGGCTGAAAGCATCCCATGTGTAGCATCCCATGTGTTGCTGAAGCGACGGCTTCAGATGCTGGCACCTGCTTTGGTGGCTTTGTCCCGTTGTCGCTGGCCACACCCGGAGAACGGAGCTCGGCCTTGAATTTCGACATTGAAAAGGGTGGGAACTGCATGGAACCTCCAAACCATGTCACCATGTCTATTTGGTGGTTTCCAAACCATAGAAATGGGACTAATGGGATATTTCCATGTCTTCCAGATCTTTTTCCATGTCTTCCAGATCTTTTGACCATAGAAATGGAATGAAACGAGACTATTCTGGGGATTTCTGGGGTATATAATGTATATATATATATACATACATACATACGCCTATACATTCTTTATTCCCAAAAGCATCTTCGATGCTTGGGTTCTCGTTTAGTTGCACTCGCCGCGGGGGAGCGAGACTGAGTGGTCGACGGAGATGTGTTGGATGGAAGGAAGGAAGGAAGGAAAAGGAAGGAAGGAAAAGGAAGGAAGGAAAAGGAAGGAAGGAAAAGGAAGGAAGGAAAAGGAAGGAAGGAAAAGGAAGGAAGGAAACGGAAGGAAGGAAAAGGAAGGAAA